TGATTTATAAAAAGTCTACAACTCAGCTGTTTGAAAAACATGCTTGCTTGTATGTCTTAACATTTGGGTTTGTGAATGCCAAAATCTCACAGAAGTTGGTGGTAAGAATTTTTCTTTCAGTCCTTAACCTCCTAAAACTAAACTGGTTCTTGGCTTAACACTTTCTAGATCAGAAGGCTTCATGCAAATTTTCCCATTCTGCTCTGCCAATGTATTACCAGTTTCATTATGACCAAGACACTGAACTATACTCAGGGTCCTACAGACAGATTCTATATGATACTGCTGCAAATGCATACTTCCTGTTGAACGTATTGATTAGAACTTTCAGTTTTGTTTAATTTACTCCTAGAAATACACTGTCTATCTTTAACATCCTAACTCTGGTCCCTCAAACCTTACTAACAGTGCTGTGACTTCTGATTTAGTTATCTGAAAGAGGAATTTACTTCAATCATTAAAATTGTGAGAGAAACTTTCCTGTCTTTTTCTTTTTTATACATAAAAACCTCATCAATGGATTAAAAAAAAATCAAAAAAAAATCTACCTTACTACATATTTGCTAATAACAGTAATCCAGCCAGCTCATTTTTTTCTCCCAGCATGACATTTTTCCAGCACTAGAAAACAGGTATTTGACAGACTTTTTTGCTAAACAGGTGTTCACCTAGTGAGCTACTACCTCTTCAAGAGAGAGAATGCTGATAGGAATACTGAGCCTTAAGACTGAACTTGAGGCAGTTCTGTCAAACTGATGATGAACTGCCTTGTTCGTTCCTTGCTCATTTGGAGGAGCCCTGGGTCCTTGTAACCAGCAGTCACCCCTTTGTGTATGTGCCCTCATTCATGGGCATTGCTGAGCAAACCATATTTCCCTTCATGACTTATGTGTAGCTTTAAGGATAATCTGCTCCAGGAGCAAATCTGTAACAGCAGTGGGGAGAGGATTTCGTGGGTTTATCTGGAGTGAGCAAACTGCAGTAAAAACTGAAGGTGTCACCTGGTGGGAGGCCCGGCTGAGATCAGTGCAGTTTTTGTGGATGTGCCAGAGCTACTCCATGGGTGCTAACCCTGCAGGGCTGCCATTGCACACCACTTGAGATGTCAGCCAGGAATTGCTCCCTTCAGCAGATCCCGCTAGCAGGAGAGATGCATCCTTGCCTGCCTTAGTGTGGAAGCCTTTGTCAGCTTCTGCCCTGGTTGTGTTTTTGGTTTGTCCTTAGACTGGAACACTCACAGGCTTTTCTGTGAATTTTGCTGTTCAGCATGGAGTTGAACATGATATGTTCTTATGCTAAGAGACCACTTTGTTCACTAGAGCTTCTCGATACTTTATTCATACTTGCCGAGTATCCACAAGCAAGGAACTAAGGAATGACAGGATGATTTCTTATGGCAGACTTGGCACTTAGACTCCTTTCCTTTTGCTGTTTTTAAGCTTCCTGGTACGAACTCTTCATATCTCTTTTATTAGGTCACCAAGTTTTTACAAAGAACTCCTAGTTAAAGGTGAGCTCAAGTTGTCTCTAAGAGTGCTAAATATGGGGAGAACAGATTTCTTCCCTTTGCCCCCAGTAATGTTCTTGTGGTCAGTCTGTAAAGTGTCTCTGAGCATACATCATTATCTTTACTAAACAGTGAGAACAAGTCTTGTTACCTAAGCAAAAGCCTGCTTCCTAGTTAGCTTTTGGCTAGGAAAAGCCAAAATTTTCAAGTTAAACTTGAAAACAACATTTCAAGTGGATAGTATTTGTTTTCAGTAATACACTTGCATAGTCTTACCCTTTGAATACAACACTGACAAAGAGTGGGAAACCCCTACACCGGTACAGATGTAACTTACAAGAGAACACGGCTGTGCAAGGAGGTCATGCACGTTTGCTTTTGTTTTTTACATAGGTGGCTCACATGACAAAAAGTGAAATCTCTCTTCAGGACTCTGCGTTTATTGGGCCAGGACTTCTGTTTCTGAACCAGTACTTCAACAGTTTCATTGATGAATATATTGTTCTATGGATAGCATTGGTAAGTGGTTTATACTTTTAATTTGGACCATAGTTAAAGGAATGGATTGAGAATTGTCCCTGTAATTCTGCTCTGCCATTTCTGACCTGCTCCCATTTCAGCTGTCGCTGTGGAGGGAGTGCCAGAGTACCATGTATTTTGGGAGCTGACTGGCTTTCTTTCCTTGGAAGAGAGATGTGAAAGTAAATTTACAAATCTCTCATGTAATTATGCTTTAGCCCATGTGGGTTTAAATTGTTCTGTGAACTGCAGACTAACCTTTGTTTATCGGACTTTGTAAGTGTTTAGTGCCGTTTGGGTGTTGGGGTTTTGGGGTGGTTTTGGTTTTTTCTAAACTAGACCACTGTGTAGCAATATGTTAAAATGATTGTTACACTTGTCACATGGATAGATCCTTCCTAAAGTATAACATATTTATAGTAGGGACAATTGAAAAAAAGGTTGGACTTTGTTTTAACCTGTTCTGTTTTGCTTTTTTGAAGTTCATATCCTTGTTTGATATGCTGAGATATGCCACTGGTGTGTGCCTACAGATTGCTGCTCATCTTCATATACATGTCTTCAGAATTTCATCTCATCAAGCTCCTGAACAGGTTCAAAACCATAATGACTGATTAAATAGGTCAAGGACAAGAGAAGAAGCATTTAGGGGAATGTTGAATGAACCAGCCCCTCTGTTTTTGGGAAAACAGATTAAGCTTTTGAAGAAAACAGTTTTATGAGAAAGTTCACCGTATCCCAGACATTACCAGATGTTAGAATTAGTAGATAACAAAGTTCTGCAGATGCTATTGTGATCAATGCTTTTGAACCAGGATGTATTTCAGACCATCAATACCACATTTGAAAATGTTGCCCTTTCCTGTTAGGTAACTTCAATTTTGTACTTCTCTTTTGGTGAATGTAGGCTGCAAACCAAGGTGCTACCAACCAGAATTTAAAGAGGAATTTCACATTTCCCTAGACCAAGTGACTAATATTGTAGCATTAGTTTCTAAAGTTTTCTTGGAAGTGCTCTGAAGTGGTAGTCAGATGTACCAATTAAATACAATACTGCAATATTAAGACTGGTAAAATGAGGCAGCCATGAGGTAAAACCACTCAATCTCTCTTCTGGTATTTCTAAGGAACAAGCTGTTGGATCAGTAGATGAAGGAGGTAGAGTTCAGGAAAATTTTATTCTACTTCAGAGTACTGTTACGAGTGCCTTTAGGATTCGTGCATTCTCTAGTATCCAACCACATAAATTACTGCTACCAGATAAAACTGTAGCTTGTACTTTCTTTCAAGGCCAGTTTCTGGTTTTGTAGTCATAACAAGGTTTGTCTCACTACACTTCATTGTTATCTGGACTAGAGGGAGCTGTGTAATTCAAGGATACTGACTTTAGCTACCCTAATGTGTATCTGTGAAACTGTGCAAGCAAATGACAAAGGTCATTGACTTAAATGACTGCAGCTCTAGCAATGCAACCCACCCATGTGTATTTCCCTGTGTGGTATTTTTGCTATTGCTGTGTTCATCTTCCTTATAATTGATCTAATTTTCTTGTAGCTACCGCTGTACTTTATCCAAACAAAACAGCACAAAACTAAACCATAGTGTAAAACTCCAAACCAGGAAGTCAGGCCCACTGTCAGCCCGTCTCTTTAAGACCAGACCCCCTGGCTAACATAATGTGCCTAACTACAGGGCTGTTGTCATTGGAGAAAAGTAGCTTATTATCTGTATGAACAAATCAGGACTTGCACTCAAACTCTATAAACTTAAGCTCCTTTAAAGAGGTACTATTTGAATACAATTTATGTAAAAAGCTGTTGAATGTAAGTGTCCATTACTACTTTCAGTTGTTGATATGTACCTGAGCTCTGAGTTCATGAAGTCCTTCCTGAACTGTTCAATAAAGAATGCTGTGTTTTTTTTAAAAAATTCTACCACTGCAGCTTCCAGGCTGCACACTAATTCAGAACGACTTCCTGAAGTATTCAGGGAACTTTATTACTGGTGTACTGTCTGCTAATCTGGAGGGAATAAAATAGCATCTGCCACACTAACAAGAATTTACTGATACTCTTGAGGGATAACTGTAACAGTTACTGCAAAGGACTAGAACTCTGAAGTGACTCACATCAATTCCAAATGGATCCTACTGCTCCTGTTTGAGACTGGGAAAGACACAGCATCTACACATGAAGTTAGCCTGAACCCAGACCATAGAAAAGAACACTCTAAACAACCACCTGATGAAAAGACACAGGCACCTTCTTTAGAGTGAGATGATTTGGTTCCCCACAATGGTCAAAACTATGTCATGTCATAGTAGGCGTAAATAATTCTAAGGATATGATTGAGGCATGTGGATGATAGGAAACCAATGCAGGAATCCCTTAGAAAACCAGAAACGTGAGTCAATACTAACAAATAAAACCAGAAACAGGAGGAAATACTAACAAATAACCTCCTATTGAAGATAGGAAGCAAAATCTGTTAACTGTTTCATAGCATCTAATTGTCCTTAGAGGGCTGAGACCCAGCAGCACAGTTACAAATCCTGGTACCCACCAGAGGCCCATATTGCCTTTGCATCATTGTAACAATGTAACTTCCATAATTGCTCCTTCCCTGAATCCTAGTAGAGGCAGAACAAGGAGTTCCATACTGGTTTCTTATTCAACTTCAGTTGCAACCTGATAGCTGAAGTTGCTGCAGGTTACTTTTCTCTAATCCAACTTCCAGAACTGAAGAACCATCAAATGACTTGATTCTGAACTAAAAATGCTAGTAGGCTGAGGGGAAGGATATGGTTTTGAAATATATTGTTATGAAAACATCACATTTGTGTGTGTGGGTGTGTGGATGGTTTTTGTTTTATCAACTGTGGTATGAAATCAAAGCATTAAATGTGTTAGCAACTACCTAATTTGTGAAAGTGGATATTCAGGTGCAATGGTTTTCTATAGAAACAAACTGCATGCACACTAAGCCAATTGTTTAATTTGTACTTGTTTACTGCAATGAGATACATGAAAGATAAATGCTTTACCCTTAAAACTCAGGCCTCCCTAAATTGCTAGTCATTTGGGATTGCAAAAAGTAATATTCCATCTCAAAGGCTTGTAATAGCTTGTACTAAGTAAATGAGGTAAATGTACCCCATCTTCTTGCAGTGGCTCTACAAGAAGTATATGCCCCAAAATGCATAATGTTCAATTATGCTTACTGGAGCTGATACATAAAGCTCATCATTCAACTAAAAAAAGCCCAATGTTTTCTGGACAAATTACAGCAGTTCATAAATCTCTTACTAATACAAGGATATTTAAATACCTACTGTAACAAAAGAGTTAACAAAATTTACTTTTATTTATTGTAATGCACATCATTAAACAATCTTACATGTCATATCCTGTGAACTTATAACTGCTGATATGTTAGCTGACTAAATGATGAAACTACAGAAATCTGCATCTTGTGAAAAATGCTTCTACTTGCACAATTTACCTAAAGGCCTAAAGTTAATATGTAAAATCTGGCTATTGCAGGTTTTCATTAATTCTGCCCATTGTAACAATTTGGCATTAGAAAAAGTGAAACAATTTTAACAGTCCAGTGCTATTGAAAGTTAATATTAAGTAGTTAAAAATTAATTGGACAGACAGTTTGGGGTCCATACTGCCCCGCCATTAATACAATTTACTAATATACGTGCTTACAACATTACTAGACACAAGATTAGAATAATCCATGAAAGCCTTTAATAGGAACCTTAAAACATTTATATCTTAACATCCTTCTCTGTGGCTAATGCCTGTACTTGTGTCATGTTACTTAGGTACAACTTGTTTCTCCATTGAGCCATCAGAATAACATGGACTGAAGAGACTTGCGAACAGTTGCCATCTCCTGCTGTTGCTGTGACGAGAAAAGGAGATAATAATGAACAAATGCCATATCTATATGAGTCCTTTGAATTAAATGAATGTCAAATGACTTTTAACAGAATGTTCCATTTTTGCATTTAACTAACTTCACAGATCTGATACTTACGGTGTCCATCATAATCTTCTTCTGCAACATAGCCATTTCTTTGCGGAGTTCATTTTGGGCACCCGCCAGAAGATTTTCATTGCTCTTCTCCAGCTCGTCCATGCTCTGAAGTTAAGGATAATCTTAATTCAGAAATCCTCAGTGTCAAAGAGTTAATTTAAAACAAACCAATCATTCATTTTCTTACTACAGTTTAATTTTTACAGTGATCACTGATAATTGATTAGTTTTGTCACAAACTTGACAGAGGAATCATACAGGACTTCATACTCCAGCCTACATTCCTATTTAAACAATATGGACCCTGTGAAGGAAATGGTACCCTCCAGTCAGCTTCTGTGAGGTCTTAGCTAGTTATTCTGCATTTTAATTAAGAGTTCCACAAGAAGAACTTGAAAGACATCTGTCAGGAATGCTAGGGGTTCAATGTTATGGCAACCTTGAGGGAATTGAAGTAAGGACTATAAAACCCATTACATGTCTTTGCACACTTCTCCCCAAATAAAACTCACTGGTTATCTTCCCTTTTGTACCTACAATTATGCCTACCTCTGTGTATGTGTCTAGTTGCATTTTCTTTAACTTACATTTACTTAAGCATATTTGAGGCTTGACTTCTACCTTTTGATCTTTGAGGAGAAAAATCAAAGTAATACTTGACCTTCTGTTCAGCTTTTCCTCTTTGATGAAGACATTTTTGACATTTTGGAATAGTTATTAATGCTTATGTAATATCCTCTCCTCTAGACCCCTGGTGGCCTAGTGGTTAGCGTGCAGGACTTTCACTGCTGCGACCATGGGTTCGAGTCCCCGGTCTCCTGGCCTGATGGAGGTCGTTAGCCCTGTGTGGCCATCCATCTATGAGAAGGTCACTCTAAACAAACCTACGTCCTGAGGACCTCACTGCCATTGTCCAAGCTTGCTTGGCCCCAGCAGATGAACCTTAGGATTAAAGGGTGGGCTCAGTTCAGCGCAGGCTGTGTCTCACCTAAAAAATCCATTGCGCAGGCTGGAAAGGTAAAAAGACCTTTCCCCAAATCTTCGTTCGCGAAGATGGGCCATTATTTTTATTTATTATTATTATTATTATTATAATATCCTCTATAAATTTTGACTGTCTTAAACTAAGAGTTGCTCTATTTCAGATTTATTTTCCTAAACTACCAGACTTGGAAAAAAACCCACAAAACCAAACCAAACACAAAGCTTATTGTAACTAACTGAAATTTCAAAATGGGACCAGTTAGAAAATGACTTGAACAGAATAAATTAAAGTTTGTCAGAAACTGACAGACTTGAATCCACCCCATATACTGGGGGCCATGCAGCTGGAAAGCAGCTTGCCAGAAAAGGTCCTAGGGGACACCAAATGGAACATTAGCCAGCAATGTGCCTTCCAGCAAGGCAACCAACAGTTTCCTAGGCTGCATTAGGAAAAGTGTTGCCAGCAGGTCTAGGGAGGTGATCTTTCCACTCTACTCGGCACTGGTGAGGCCATGCCTGGAGTGCTGGGTCTGGTTCCAGACTCCTCAGTATAGGAGAGACATGTACATACAGGACAGAGCTCAAAGGGCCATGAAGATGATTAAGGGACAGAAGTGTTTCTCATGTGAGAAAAGCATGAAAGAGATGGGACTGTTACGCCTGGAAAAGAGAAAGGTAGGGGGATCTTATCTATATACCTAGTGCCTGAAGGGGAGAATGCAAAGAAGGTGGAGCCAGGCTCTTGAGGTGCCCAGTGACAGGACCAGGAAGGACAGACAAACTGAAAACAAAGGAAGTTCCCTCTCAGCATCAAGAAACACTTTTCCTGTGAGGGTGACTGAGCACTGGAACAGGTTGCCCCAAGGGGCTGCGGAGTCCCCCTCCTCGGAGATACTCAGAAGCCATTTGGAGGTAAGTCCCAAGCAACCAACTCTAGACAGCCCTCCTGTACCATCTGCTGGCAAGACCAGATGTCCTCCAGAGGTCCCTTCCAACCTGAGTCCTTCAGTGATTCTATGGTGCTGTGCCTCTGCATTCATTACAAAATCAATCATTTAGGGTATTTTCATTTTTCTCACAGTTTAATTTTCAAATACCTTAGAAAAATAGCGGTGGAAGGACATTCTGGGAATGAAGTGTTTTGTTCTTGATGTAAAATGAGTGGGGAAAACCTTTTTTTTTAACTAAAAAGTAAAATTTTTGTGGAGCTCAAAATATTTTTTTGCTTGCTGTGTAGTATGTAGCTATTTTGTTACAAAAATACCAAATAATTTAAAAACCTAAATTACTACAGCTTTCTTAAGTGATATGATAAGGATCAGCTGCCTTCCAAGGAAAAAATGTACTGTACCTTTAAGAACTGCTCATAGAGTTGCTTAATGGTTTTCAGTCTCTGACTTTGAACTATTCTTGCCTGTTGAAAAACTTTTTGTTGCTGACGAAGCATATTCTGAAGTAGAAGAAAAAGGAAAACATAATTGCATTAGTTGTTAACCAAAGCACTTAGACAGCACACCAATGTCATTTTTCAGAATCAGAGATTCTGCCTTCACTGGAAAATCTGCACCTTGTAGATCTCTGCCCAGAGTTACCCTTGCTCTTAGTAATGAAAGTAAGATGAAGACTGGATTAAGCCCTGAGTCACCTCCTAAGGTCCCTTCCAATCTGACTTATCCTTGTAAAATCCTATGAAGATTGCTATCCCCTGCAGCTCCTTAGTGTGCTGCCTAAATGTGCTGCCTGGGGAAAAGTAAAACTTGCAAATGTGTTGGAAGAACAAATACAGCAACATCACTTTATTACATTCCATGGTATGGTTCCTATCCCCTTTCAATTATAAAATTCTCTTACATTTCCTACATCCAGGCATATTTTTAAGCAAACTACTTTTAAGAAAAAACTACTTTCCGTTATTCCTTTGTTCCCTGAACCAAAAGACTGTAGATGCACAGAAACAGCACACATCTTTCTTCTCCATAAATGTCTTGGCTTTTCTCAAGCCATATGCTGGCCTAGGGCATCACTTAGTGCCATTTATAAACTTGCAATAAAGTTTATAAATGCAACTCTCTTTGCAAAACATAATCACATATTTTTTTAAACTACATGAAGTGTTTTTACATTTTTTGAGTGTCTAAACAACAGTACTCCCTTCTTGTGAAAATACAGTGAAACTCGTGCCACGCTGGAAACCCACCGCTAGTTTTTCTTCCTGCTCCTCTGCTTTTTGCACATCTACATCCCATTGCTGAAATAAAGTCAGGAACTGCTGGGAGAATTCATGATTGAGCTTCTGCCTATAAACAGACACTATCTGTAAGTATGACAAATGCTATCAAGAATTACAAGGAAAGCTAAGGTTCAACATACACATGGAGTAGGATAAAAGCTGACATAGATAATGAAACAGGATATTTAGACATCTGACCGCAATTGAATAGTGTGTGTTTTGAAAAACTGAACAGACATATACACACACACTTTGAGTGAATATGGATTATATACATATAAGGAGACAGCACTCGCATACAAAACTCAGGTTTTAACTTAAGGGGTTTTTAACGCAAAGTTGATCAGCTTATTAATAAGTTTATGATGATCTAAGTTTCTCCATGTAAATTTAAATTTTGTCCATAGACGTTTCAGATAAATATATATATACACATATATATCTAGAACAACACCAAGACAGTTGTAAGTATTGCTGACTTTCAGTTCTTAGCTGTCTCATTTTTCAGTTTGCTCTACCTGTAGTATCAGATGTAGTAATTAAATATGTCTTAGGAGGGGAGAGAAATATTATGTAGGGTGAAAATTACTTTCTTTCTTAACCTGAATAGCATTAAAGTTTTACTGAACATTTTTTCAAGTTTTGAAGTAGAAACAGAAAATTCCAAAGTGGAAAAAACCCTCCTCGTTGTTTTAAAAATAACATCAAAGGTCACTTTCCATAAAAATAAAACCAGCTCTTTAACATACCTTGCTCTCAGAATTTCAATTCTTAAGTTTCTCTGTTCAAAAGAGAATATGCTAAACTATTACTGTCAGTTTTGCAAAATGGACACAACTGAAGGCAGCAGAGGCCCTGAGCAGATATTGACTAGAAGATACAGTACTTGACATTTAATTGCAAGAAGACAGAATAACTATCCATGCTGTGACACAAAAGGCAATCTGGTTCCACAGGTTTGAAAACCAAGGGTAAATGTTACCTTTGCTCCTGCTGCATTTTCCAAACATGTTCAATCTTCTGGTTACTGGTTTTGAGTGAGGCTTTTGTATACATTTCTAATCTTTTTCTCTTAGCTAAGAGAGCCTTGTTAATGTCAGCTAAAAGTCAAAGAATATTTAGAAATTAAGCACAGTGGATACATTGTGCCATTTATTAAAAATACTGAGAAGCAAATGAGGTGTGTTCTAAGGGAAAGAAGCGTTGCCCAGCCCCACAACAAGTGTAGCACCGCCTTCAAGTCCCACCTCTCTCAGACGCCAGACCAAACAGGACCCACTGTGATGTGACTCAGCTGTAGCTGCTTTGATTCTGTCAGGCCAGTGGTGAGTCCAGTGTCAGACTGGCTTTGAACTGACACACACAGTGAACTCAAACTCCAGTGGCTTGAACTCAGGGCAGCTGCAGTGCTTCCATTCTGTACACTGAGATCGGGGCCTTCCCTACAGATTATTGTGGTCCAACATGCACTTCCAAGGTATCACCTATGCAGGAACTACACACATATTCTCGGAGCACTGGAAGCACTACCTGTCAATTCACACTGCGTAGGCACATTGTATTTGGACATCTCACAGCCTACAAATTCTCCATTCAAAGCTAGAGATAGCTTGCACAAACTTCCTCTTTCCTCTAGTATCTCAGGATATTTTAGTAACATCATCAAAATCTTCATGAGTTTAGCTGCATGACTGTGGGGCTAGGTCAGAGTTTCCAGACCTTCAAGGTGGTTTTTCTCTAACCCATCAGCTATCTAGAATTCAGCTGGTACTTTAACTGTAAGTAAAGCCATCTGAGGATCTGACTATGACTATACTAAATCCTACTAAGTGACATGCATAAATCTCTCATCACTAGGTGACTGGCATTACTTACCCTCATTATTTGGCTCTTCTATAAACTCATACTCATCCTGACTGCTAAAATTCTCTTATCTGCTGATTCCCTATTCTCTAAATTTCTGAAGGTGCTGAGTAGAGACTACTCTCTCATTCTCTGTTGCAATTAAAGTTTACTTCCAAAGTTGCTTGTCTAGAATTAGAACCATTTGTTCTACTTAACCACTTATATTCACATTTACCTGCCCCGTATTTCTCACTCAAGTCTTGCAATCTCCAGTATCCTCCATGTCAGTGTAACAAAAAATTGAGTGAGAACAACAGCTAACTAATATTGTCCCTTTTCTCTACAATATATTCACTACCTCTTAAACTTCATCTTAAAATTGGAATTGTCAAAAGCACTCATGCATCTTTCCCTTTTCCTTTGTAGTTACCTACGTAACTACGTATTACGTAGTTACCTATGTAATACTTACTTTATGTGCAGTTATTCCCTTTTCTTCTTTCTCTTTGCTCTACTTAGATATAACTTTTTTTTCTGAAAACTGGCTTTATTCAGAAATGCTGAAAAATGCTACAAAGACTGTTTATTTTATGTAAGTCTTGAAAGTTATGTTACGGTAAGAAATTACTGCCAATTCTGCAACGTTTTTTTTTTAATTTATTAGAATGTAAATGTACTTACCTCCAAACCTTTCCAGCATATTCTGTACTTCACCCCTAGAAAACAGCGTTTAAAATTTTTATTTGCACATTTTCTGGCTTTAGAGTAAGACCTGTTTTATGTGCTTAAAACTAATTTTATTCATGTGCCTATTACTTGTAAGCAGTCACAGAGCTGCTACTGCTCTACAAGATAATTATACTCCTTTTCTCCTCCTGTGAGAGGTCTTTTTTAAGACTGATTTGCTTGTTTAAAAAAAAATACTGGAATCTATTAACTTACTCCCCAGTAAAAAGACACTGTTAGGCATTTAAGGGGCCTTGAGTGAGGGCATTCAGTAAATAAAATTGATTATTCCCTAGACAAAAAGAAAACACAAAGAGTATTTGGAACATCAAATGAAACAAGTCCATCCCAGATAGCATGACTGGCACAGTAAGAAAAATCCAAGGTAAATAATATCAAGGTTCGTTTTACAGCACCTTTAAGATGATAACACCAGTGTGAGAGGCAGTGGTACAATACAGTAAAAACAATATCTTCAACTCAACAGCTGTAATCTCCTACAAAACTATTTCAGCATACACTTTCTTATTGCATTTACACTGCCCATAATTATTAAATGTAATAAGATTTATCTGTAAAAAGAATTTATTTTTCATGCAATATTTGGATCATTCAAAGTACTGGTAATATGTTCAAGCAACTAAAATCAGAGGAAAAAATAATGGAATTTAATGAAATTATCAACAATTTAGGATAAAACAAATATTTTTAAAAGAAATAAATATTTTAAAAACTTACACAAATATATCATATTTTCATTCGTGTTCAAAAATATCTACAAAGAAACTGCAGAATTACTAATTTTAAAATGTTACATTTTCTTTTTTTACCTACAACTGCTGTAGGTAAAAAATTGTCTGTCACTTGATTTTGAATCAAATACTAACCAAACCAAAAACAAACAAAGCAAAACAAGCATAGTGAATAACTGAAATTAGTATCTACTTGCTTATTTTGGAAAAAAATACCTTAGACACATAACCTTACCCCACATCATCTGGAACCACATGAGTAGTCGCCAAGGGTCTTTTCTTTCCATGCTTGTCCATTACTGGTGTGTCGCCTTTAGAAAAATTACAGAAATACTTACAAAAATACCTTCTATTTTGTGTGGGTGGTTTGAGTTATTAAAAGTGTAGTTACTTTTCTGTAATGCCATTTTTCTGAACATGTCTCGTGGGTCTCAGTTCCTGTCAGTAACACATGCAGCTCCTAAAATTTTGATTGTGGAGTTGACAGATGGTGGTGAATTATTCCGCAAAGCCAGATTTGAGCTGGCACTGCCTTGAGTTCCTCTACACTGGTCCCAACCTGTTTTACTTTCCCTGTCCACTACTACCCCATTAGTTGCAACCCACAATATAACAATCATCAGAAAGGTAAAAATAACGTAAAAATCGAAAAAGCCCAAACTGTTAGAATTTTACTGTACAATGAGCACTGAAATTCTCTCTAACTTTTAAAAAGCAAAATCACAAATATATATTTATATTACTTTGAAAAAAAAATATCCTTGGCTACCAGATTTCTGTTAAAGGCGGGGATAAGTGGGACAGGAATTTAGTCTAAACAAATGAAGGGGAGAAATGAATAAGAAACAAGCCCAGAGATAACTGCTGAAAGATAAAAATTCAGAAGTGGAGTTGCATCAAACTTTACAAAAAACTAGCATGTGATGAATGAGAACTGTATGTTTAAGCGAAGTCCACTTTTTTATGACACTCCCTCAAAATTAAACAAGAATCCCTTGTCTGATTTATTTTCTTTTTGCCTCAGCTTTCTCCACTTTTTCTTTTCTTTGGTTCAGATTCTTCCTGAAGTGCTTTTAAACCTGCCAGACTCCAACTACCTTATCTGACTCAGTACTCCATACAAGCAGGCAGAGTTCTTCTGCTCTGTCCCACTCTCACAATGTTCTGTGCAGCCAGGTGACAGAAGGATATGGCATTAAAATAAGGTAACATAATCACGTAGCAACATTCTACTCTATTGAAGACTCCACCTGTAATTTCAAGACATAACAGTGCACTACACAGAGCTATTCTGTTGGGTTCTCTCCTCTTACCAATCAAAACCACACAGTAGGAAGCTGGTTGTCTTAAGCATTGTAAACCCTGCTTGCTCAGACACTGGCTGACACAGTCTTTCTATTCAAAGTCAGGAATGTGATAAACTTCACATTTTAAAAATGTGCTAAAAAAGGGCATATAAGCACCTTCTCTAATATCTTCCTCTGATCCACTCAGTTCTTTTCTATCCTCCTCAAAGTCATAGGCAGGTAGGGTCTGTTCTTCTGGTGCTGGTTTACCAGCTTTTCCTCCATGCTTCCTTCCCGATGGTGCCATAATGAGATCTTTTCCTGCTGAAACAGTACACTGTATTTGTTACATAACTTTCCCCACAATAATTTGAAGATAAATATGTTTTCATGCTTACATAGACCTGCCATGGATACCTCTGTAACAGTCTCCACGTGTAAGGATATGTAAGCAGTCAAACTGTTTTAGTTTTGAGGTGTTCAGGGGTGTTTTAAGAACTCGATAAAAAAATGCCAGGGCTAATAGGAACACACTTGATTTTGCTGAAAAAGAAGTAAATTATCCATTTTCTTAAGGTGCCTGCCTGCTCACCTTCCATGTTTATTATACATTTTGTCATATCCAGTACTGCATTCCCCAAAAGCTATGCCAGTATTCTATTTTACAAAACATAGAAATGGTAAACCATAAAGAACAATGTAATTCTACAAGCCATCCCGCACTATAGAGACAAATATACAAGTGCTTATGCCATTTTTAAAAGTCCTGGGCAACTTTCAGCTTCTGAATTATCTTTCTTTATAGCTATTATGCCTCTGCACTCTGTAATGTAACTAATGCCATTTCTATGTTGGCAAACATTTTACACATACACTACCCTCTTAAAAAATATTAATTGATTTACTTTAGTAATAGTAATTTTTATATATTCTGTACATTTTTATAAATATTCAAGGAGAAAAAAAATCTATTTAGAAGAGAAAGAGCATAGTTGTAGTCACTAGATGCATGAGTGACAAAATATTTTTTCCTTAGCATTTTATCAGCAATAGCAATAACATACAAATACAACAGGAAATAGAAAGCTACTGAATCCTTGCTGAAATATTTCTTCTTCTTATCTTTTTCTGATAGCAAAAGCTATAAGGTATTTCAAGTTGTGTCACATGACATTTCCTTTAAAAAATTCTTTAAAAATAACAGAATTCCTTGGAATATGGAAAGATATCAGCTGCTGGTACCCTGTTTTCCAAACTGAGCAAGACATGACTCAGTAGTGGGTAAACTTCTCATTCTAGACACAATTCAACACAGCTACAAATATATGTAGGTTTTCCACAAGCCAGGGCACAGATAGATCTGAAAATTAAGTTCACACAGTGAAACTGGGAACTCCAGTAAAGGTCTTTTGTATTTCCATGACTGTGAAGTCACCCCAACATTAACACCTCTCACACACCTGAGTTTCCTATTTCTGTTTGTTTGTGGTTTTTTAATTATTTGTCCACAGTTGTGAAAATATTTTTTAACCACACATTACATGGATCTATGTAACATGACCACACTAAGCTAAAACACACTGCTTTGTAATACCCAGCTTTTTCTGAAGTTGATACTTCTCTCTGTGGTATGAAGATTTTTAGACCTTGCAAGTGTCTTGGAAAACAAAAGCAAAACCTCTTTAAATTATTAACTGGAAAAATCAAAAGTCCTTGCATTAAAATTATCCTCAAATGAGAGAGAATTTTCAACACTCGATCTGCTTTTCAACTACTGTGATTGTTGAAAACATGATATAAGGAGGAAAGTCCTGGTGCGGCATCTGGCTGCGCCTGTTTCTGGGCTGCCAAAGCACTTCAACATTTTACTGCAAGCACGTATTTTATCTGACATACAGATGCTTTGTCCTGAAAAGCAGTTTACAAAGCAGGACTCTCGAGTCCCCCCCACAGGCATAAAACGATCTCGCCACCTCGCAGCCCTCGTTCAATGCTATGTACCTGTTTTAGCCGATTCAAGGATCTTCAACCGCGAACTGTGTATTTTTTTTTTTTTTGAGAAACTCACCTCTTTTTTTCACCCTGCCCCAAAAAAAGACATGAAACAAAACGGGGCTTCTGCGAATTTCCTACGTGGGGCTTTTCACGGCGGGGACGCACCTGTCTCCACCTCAGAGCAGCGGGGGAGACTCGGGCCCTCAGCCGCCTCACCCTGAGGGCACCCCGGGCGGCAGGGACAGGGCGCCTCGCACCCTCCCGCAGCGGAGGGAACTCCGCTCGCCCCGAGCCCCTCTGCGCCCCCCGCAGCCCTCACGTTCCTCCCGAGGCTATCCCGGGCGACAAAGGCTGACGGGCACGGCGGGACGCGGTGCCGCCTCAGCGCCTCCTCCCCCGGGAAAAGGCGGGAAAGCGGGCGGAGCGCGGCAGGGACACACACGGTGCCCTCAGGAGCAGGGGACGGGCCGGGACGGGCACGGCCCGTCGTGCTCATTCGGCATTAAACTCGTTTAAAGCTCACCAACCTTCACCTGGTTTTGCCCGAAATAGCTTTAATTTATCATTCAGATAAAAAAAAGCCTTCAGAAAGTATTCTGGTGTATGTAGCTATGGTATGGCATCACAGGAGGATTTTTCCATAAATCACTGCAAACACAGTATTTTTCTGCCACATGTTTTATGTTTCAGATTCTCATTTCCTGCCCTCAGCCAGTTAAGGTATTCTGCTTTTTAGTATTCTGCTTTTTACTTGTGAAAACCAAACCTAAATTAAAGAAGAATCCTAATGCTATTTCAATTTCCAATGTTCTCATTAACCCCAACCACTTGAGAAATTTTACTTGGTACATCCTTGACCAAGTTTAAGTTTTCCCTGGGTCTGCCTGGGGTGGAGTTGACTTTCCTCACAGCAGTCCTGAGGGTGGTGCAGGGCCTGCACAGCATCCCAGGTCTTGCTCTGTCCCCCCAGCCAGGAACGCCGTGGGAACGTGGGACACATGGCTGGGACAAAGAAGCTTTGCCTAAACAAAAAGGAATTGCAGTGACAGCTGAGCTACCTATGCAATCTGCTTGTTGATACATAACTTCATTAGGAAAAACTGCCTTGAAAATTTCAACCAAGATTTTCCAACTGTTTTGATTAGAACGTCAAATATAATTAAAAAAAAAAAATCCCAGTCAAACTCAAATCTACCTAATATTTTCAAGTGTAAGAAGTTATCAAAGCTTTCTTGTATTTCTTGAAATGTCTCATTTTCTGCTAGGCTGAAGTACTGCAGATTTAAACTACTTATTTATATTCTACATTTCAGCATAAGATATATTGCTAGCATGAAATACAATTAAAAGTGCTTGCATTTTTATAGTGCTTAAAAGTTTGATTCTACTTTGAGAACAGATTCATGCTTCAAAATAATACTAAATTACTATAGTTGGAAGTTTTTTAAGGGACAAATAATATAAGGTTTCGTACACATTACTGGCTAATTTATCAAAATGGGCGAGTTTTTGTTTACTTTAAAACAGAAACAACAGACAACTTTCATCACATTTTAGTTAATTTCAAAGCAAACCAAGTATCTTACAATACATATGCACATACATTTTGTACATCATCTGATTACAAAAATTAATGCTTTTCTGAATACTGTTAACACAATTAACTGAAGATGCACCACCAAAAGTTTCTGCTTGAAAAGATTCAGTATCCTTTCCTACATAAAACCACGTTACTCTGATGTCTCAGCAAAACACAGGGCCAAACCCTGTTAAATTTAAAAACACCAAAGCTTTGTATATCAGTACAAATATTGTTTTCTGAAGTGAAAAACTGCTCCCATACTTTTCTACTTTAAAAGTTTGTTACCCATTCATATAGAGAGGCACTTTTGCTTTTATACTTACAATGCTTGTAAAATATTATTCCTTGATCATTTTCCTTGCGTTACAACCCTCTCTTTGTAATCAAGGCAAGAAATAACATAATTGTATTATCTGGAGTAGAATACACCAGATATAAAGTACCTTTCAAATAACCATTAGGTGTTTTATTACTGTGTAATTTTTTTATTAGCATACATTTCTTCCAAATCCCAGCTAAATACTACAAATAGGGAGATGAATTGTCACTGTGCTTTAAAGAATGTCAACATCTATAAATGTATACTAAATTTAAATGACAAGTTACATAATTCTCCATTTCCCCATAGGTCTAAAAAAAGCAGCAATGACAGAAATTTGCAAAATGCTTTGGAATGCAAGATCAAAGACTTGTTACGCTGATCCCAAACAACATTTCCTTCCAACATTTTATCTTGTTGGCAATATCCACTGCAATAAATGCAGTTACATTTGTTTAGGTAACCCTTTTTATAAAAAAGGATAACATGGCCATGGAACTGAGTCATAAAGTAAGATCTGTTGAAAACTGCTTATGTACAGGTTTCCGGCAATTATTTTTTGTTGTTTTGTGATGTCACAGCTCCAACAGCTTTTATGTCATGAAAGTACTGCAGAGATTCTAACTGTAGATGCACGATTTTTTTCTTCATATCAACATAGTTAAATGTTAAACCAGAAAAGACACTTATGAAAGAGATTTAAAATGCTTAATCACATCTTGAGGTAGACTGATCTCCAAAATAAAGCTCTTCTACACTTTGATTCGTTCATGACCAGCTTCTTTTTGGATCCTTCTCCTTGGAAAAATCTTTCGTTTAAGTGCAATTAGCTGAGGAGAGAAAAAATACAATATGTAGTTCTCTGCTGGGCTAAAGGTCCACAGCTGGTCAGGTTTTCACCCTAGAAACTATAAAACCTCTACCATTTACAGCAATTTAGTCAGTACTGTACTTTTTTTTTCCCATTGCACATTTTAAAGGAAATTTGTGTATTTAAATTAACACTAGGCTCCATTCAGTTTCTAAAAGATCAACACAAAGTCGGCATCTTAAAACAGTATTTATATTCCTAACTGTAACTCTGAGTTGAGTATCCCCTTCCAAAACCAAGTTACTGATGGAGTTTTCTAATATACACAAAAGGCTGAAAATCAAGGGAAAGAGTCATGCAAAAGTTACAGGTGGGAAAAAAATAATAATCAAAAGCCAACCTTTCAAGAATTACACCCTCTTCATCAGACCACGGAAAGTGTTACTTAAGGCCCCAACCTGCAAAGAATTACCCATATGATTTGTTCCATTGACTCCCTCTGAGTTCAGCAGGACTAATCATGTTCAAGAAAGCTTGCAGAAGTGGCATTTTTTTTTCCCTTCGAGTCAGATTAAAAACCTTTTGAATTCAACAGGAGTCTTTGCAATTACATAGGGAAGAGATTTTGAAAAGGCCTCTAAATACCTTAAGATTCTCTTCAGGACTATAGTATTGCTATTACTTAAGTTCCCTTCCTGTTAATTTACTTTGCACTTTTTCCAATATGTATGTTAATAGACCAAGAATTTCAAAAACAAGTACTGATTTTAAGCTTCCAAATTTAGCACACTGATGATGAACTTGACAGTCACAAGGCACCTGAGAAGGGAATACCACTCTTTCCCCCCATATGACTCTCTTTTCAAGAACTCTCAACATGATGACTTAAAAACTGAAGCCAGCTAATCATTATTCATACAACATCTTTACTTCTTTTATGAAGGAAAAATCCTAGCTACTCTTCAAAACCTATATAAAAAAATCCATCTGATGTTATCCTGCAGATTCCACAATCTATTAAGTGTTATATAAATTTGATAATGCATTAACTTTACCTGTTCAGCAAAAAATGAGATGACTGTAAATACAATAAGTGTTACTAGAACACAATGGGTCCAGAATTTGAGCTTGTCTCTATATGCCCTCCTGGACAAGGAAAAAAGGAAAGAGAAAAAACAGCTTCATATATTATAAATTCAAATTTTCAAATTTTAAAGACTTCCACGAAACATGCAAAGAAAGTCTTTTTCCCAGGACTTAAAGGGTGACTAAAAAGAGGACAGAGGCTCTCTTCACAAAGAGCCACATGGCGAGGACAAGGGGCACCACGTACAACCTGGACTGGGAGAGGTTTCGTCTTGACATAAGGAAATTTTTTTACAGTGAAAACAATCATTCTGGATGCAGTCTCCCCAGGGACATGGTATAGTCTGCACCACTGGAAGTTTTCAAGATGTGACTGGTCACAGTTTGAGATCTTAGAATCAGTTAGGTTGGAAAAGACCTCTAAGATCAAGTCCAACCATTATGTGAACACTCCCAAGCACTGCCAAGCACTAAAGCATGTCCCCAAGTGCCACATCTACACATGAAATGTTTCCCATGAAATGTTGGACCAAATGATCTTTTGAGGTCCCTTCCAACCTGGGCTGTCCTATGATTCAGAAAAAATTTGATTTCCACCAGCACTTCAGCATGCTTTAACCCACCCTGGTAGGTTCATCTTTGGCTACAAGCAACTCAAAGTGCCTTTCTGAAGCTACAAAAAGTCTTGATGGAGGTTCTCAAAAAGGGAGCCAACAATATGTCTATTCCTCCAGTGCAAATTTCTAAAGCTAACTGCTGAAATGGGTTTGCCCCCTGCTCCCTCTGCCACTACAATCCCCACCTGTTCTTGTCACCTACAATCCTTCTGATTCCTTCTACAGTTCCTCTAATATTTTATCTTTCCTTATTGATGGTTACTTTTCATAATGTGCTGATCAGATTTACTATATTTGTCTTGTCTCATTTCTGTCACCATATCTGTCTATCTTTTGCTTGTATTCTCAAGTCAACTACCCTAATTTCTGAAGTTATTTATAACATGGCAAGAGATAAACACACAAAAGTTTCACATATTATGTACAAGTGAGACACACATATATCTTTACTGATTATTATCCAGATGGTTTGGGATTTTTTAACATTTAAAGAAACCCAGAATTCCTGAATTACTTAAGCAAAACAACACTTTTTCTTTGCAGTAGGTTAGGGCCAATTGATAAAACATTAATGACTATTTAAGCACCAGAAAAACCCAAATCCTGTAGACCTCAAATTTTAGTCTATCCAAATCTTTTTCACTGTTAACTCCTTCATGACAATACTGGGGGCAAAATGGCTTGTACCAGTATCTTCCAAATTATATGCTGTTGCAGTACGATACCTTGAAAACAACTTGTGTAACATACCATTCTTGGAGTTCATGCATGTGAAGGAAACGATTCCGATATTCTCTTGGCAGCTCAAATTGGGAAGGTATGGGAAACATCGATTCATAAAAATCCCTGAGCACCGCTTTCACTGTTTGAGCATCCTTGTGATTGTGATCAATATTGTCATTTAGGCAAACAAATTTTCTAGAAAACAAGATGAAATTGTTAGAATATTTCTTTAGTAGTATGGCAAAGGTATTGGCAAACCAATAATACAAACAGAGTCCTTTTTTAAAAAAGTATCCTTTTAAAACCAAATTGATCTATTTTTTATTGTTGCATTATTTTAAATTAATTTGATTTTAATTCTAAGAGGAGTAAGGTTGACAGCAAGTCAAAACTTTTGAGGAATCCATTGACAGGCCACATTTCTCTTCTAGTTATATAATGCTGCCATCTAATGGGCACCAGAGTATGCCCATCATAAACAGCATTATGATTTGTGTAAGGATTTTTATAGTTTTAAATTATCATAAGTAAAGTACCTTAAATAACAAAGTAAGCTCCACTGCAGGAAATAAACATACTCAGTTAGTAATATTTTACTGTGTATGTTGCATTCTTTAGAAAAAGTCAACATAAAAACTACAGAAGATTGTATAAGAGAGGGCAAAGCTTGGTCCCCAGGCTTTGGATTACTGAACATTATATAAATTGGACAAGACATGGCTTGAATCATAGATCCAAAGTTAGACTTGTATAATCAACCAAAATACAAGCGGCAACAATCTGGATAGAATTTATATGGAAATCACCGTGACCGAATAAGCACATTCCCAATAATGCCTCTCGCAGAGAGTTATTTCTCACATATGAAACATGCAACTATTTAGGTTACTGCAAAAAAATTGAAACTAGAGCAGTTAGTGTGCTAGACTGCCGTGTACCCTTGGCCACTCTGACCTGGTGCTCAACCACAAAAATTCCGCTTCCCACATATGGGCAAGGTTATGTGCTTTATTTATATTGTGAGATACAAGACCCCTACATTTTCCCCAGAGGCAGAAATCATATCTGGTGACATATGCCTTGTCATTGATAACCTTTGTAAATAAGTAGTTCTGGTCAGCTGTATTCTCTATAGTATGGTATGCTCTTTCAAAGAGCAAAGTTCAGACTTCCTACATGAGGCTGGATATAAGCAGAACCCTATAGCATGTGTAGCAGCCCACACAGGGAATTACCACTGAATGGTAATGTCCTGAATCTGGCATAATTGTTAACCTCGCTCTAGACAGTTACGTGCAGGGGATAAACAGTCATTCGAATTGTTACATCTGAGAAGAACAAAATACGCCTCTCCAAAAATGAGCAGGCTCTATCTACCCTATCAAGTAATACCATGCAAAGCAGCTGGTTATGGCAATCACGTCTACACTTATAAGCTATTTGGGAGTTCACTCTGGACTATCCCTGACCTTGTCCCTTGGACTGGCAGCTCATTAGCCCTGGGAATGCAGTAGCTGCACTCCAGGATTATATATATCCCCATTTAGCTTCATCTAAAAGAGATGCAGTTTACAGACTAAGAGGTTGCTACACACAGCAAATCAAACCACTGTACATGGACGTGATGAGGATATTAGCCTGTTTCTAACAGAAAGACTCTTTTAATTCATTCAAAAGAAACCAAACATGACATTCCTTTGGATATTCCAGAACTAATGCCTAGATGATTAATGCTCACTTTGCCTTAAGGATGCAAACCAAACATTTTAGCAGATCAGTAAGTGAATGATACTTTTAGTTCATTCCAAGACAGGCACTAAATACCTGTTTTTAGAGACTGCATGTAATTATTGGTTTATATGCAAGGAAAAGATAGCAAAGAGAAGGAAATGGCATGCCTACATAACTGTGCCAGCTCTCCTTTGCTAACAAGGTATGACTAGAGTACTGCGCTATATTTTGCAGGAATACAGCCCAAGTAATTGACTCAACCTCACCTCATGGACTTGAACACTGAGGGTGAGAAACTCATGTTACGCGCACTCTTTGGGCCTGACAAGGCTTGAAATCACACCTACCTTTTAAAAAAACCTCCTAGCCAGCAGACAAAGAAATAGAGAATAAAGAGAAAGCAGAAGGATGAGCTAGAGCACTGCCTACTTTTCCTTTGAAATGGGTCATTGTGGGAACTGGAATGCAGGAGTTATGTGGCCAGAAGGCACTCTTGTAAGGAGTAGCAATAGATAGAAACCACCTTCAGCTGAAAAATGTCTCCAGACTAGCATTTCCCTTTCTGAATGAATGACCTGGTAAAAGTAGTACAGTATGAGAGGAAAGTGAAAACCAGCTCTTTATCTATAAATACAAATAACAGTGTAGTGTTAAAGGCCCCTGAGATTACCCAATAACTTGCTGTGACCAAAATAGGTTTCACTTTCCCTGGCCCAAGGTACCTGGTTCTACGTTTCTCCTTGCTCTGTCTTTTGACACTTGTCAGACCCCTTCTTGAGGCCAAACTCGTTAAACTGGCAGAGAACTCTGGTTTTCTAAAGACAGAAGCAAGATGCAAGATAAAAGTGTGGAACCACGAGAAGGAAGGAGAGGAGAAAAGTGGAGGCACTGGCCCACTTCTAAGACAGTTAGCTACTAAATTATCTCACAACGTCTTCTCAAACCCCAGTTTTATGCAACGGACTCAGGTCTACAGTTAAAATGCTTCTGCGAAGCAGTTTCAGACTGGAGTCCCAAACACAGCACCCTTTGCTTTGCAAGGTGGTTGCTGTGAAACGTATTCCAGGACACAGATTTTCTCCATTTATCACAGTCATTTCAGGAGCCTAAATTCAACACTACAGACTCTACTCTCAGACTTGAGTATCTAAACCTTTTATCCCTGCAGAATAAAAAGCAGAGGACTACCTTCCACCTTTTAGTTGTTTCTCATCAAATATTAAAAAATAAAATAATATTAATACTTCTTGCCATGTTGTAAAAGAGCATGAAAGTACAATGTATATGCAAAACTGATTTTGTAACAAAATAATACACACTCAAGTTTTAGTATAAAATACCTACACAAAGCAGATAACCCCTAACATAACAGAGAGAGGAGTCACTTAGCTTCAGTCAAACAGAAAAAATTAGAAGTACTTTTGGTTCAAATTGGTCTTAGTTTTGTTTAGAAACATACGACAATAAATTATTCTTTTAACACACAAAAAGTTCAAACAGTCAAAGCAGAAAATTAAAACCACCTCACAACATCACAACAAATCACAAAACAGGATACCTGGGATTTTTTCGTATGTCATCCAGCTGACCAACTACATGAGAAACATTTGTGCGAATCATTTTGAAGGCAATTTCCTCTTCTCCCATGATTTCAAACCTTAATGTTAAAACAATATTTATACATTAATAAAACAACCTGAAGTCTGGTTCAATAAATATTAATATTGAATTTAACATAAATTAGCAACATTTCTAATCTGACTGGCCAATCTTCATTAGAATTTGCCATTTGCTTTCTATCAATATGTTTACATTTTTTGGCCAGTGGTCTTGCACAGAATCACTTTCCTGTAGATTTATTAGTAACCCCCTACAAATCAAAGATCTGAATTCTAACAGAAAGCTTAAAAACTATGAGCCTCTGACTCCAGGTTAACAGTCTTACTAGTGGGACTACACTAACATTTTTCACCTTTCTTATCTTGATATAAGAAAACACCTTGCTGACAATGTAGACAATCTACTCCATTTATAAAGCTCACAAAATTAATACAATCATTTAGCATATAACCTAATGATATAAATATATTACCATAAATCAGTTTAAGTACAGCAAATCCTTGCCCCCACCCTAATGTTTTTCAACCTCGTTTGTTGGTCAGCTTTTCAGTTTTAGTGGTAACTCTTCTGGGAAGGGAATGAATTACAAAGTTTACAGCACAACTGGATGTTCCATAAATTAATGTATAATGATGCCAAAAAGTTGCCCTAAGCAGCATCTGTAACCTTCTTTCGTTCTACAGTTGTGAGTTTGTAGCCACTCCTGGGGCAAGCATGTGTGTTGGAGACCACCTGGCCCTGCCCAACGCTGCTGGTGAGAACAGGACCCAAGGCTGTAAAGCTCCAGCCAGCAAACAGCCTCACTGACCTGCAATTGGTTTGCAGGTTCCATAGAGTAACAGAATATGCTGAGTTGAAAAGGGCTCATCGTGGTCAAGTCCAACTCCCGGCCCTGCACAGATGCCCCAAGAGTCACACCATGTGCCTGAGAGTACTGTCCAAATGCTTCCTGAAATCAGACAGGCTTCGTTCTGTGACCACTTCCGTGGGGAGTGTGTTCCAATGCCCAATCACCCTCTGGGTGAAGAACTTTTTCCTGATATTCAACCTAAACCTCCTCTGACTCAGCTTCATGCGATTTCCTTGAGTCCTGTCACTGATCACAAGAGGAAAGAGATTGGTACTTGCCCCTCCACTTCCCATTTCAGAGAAGAAATATTTGAGAGAACCTGAAAGATTTGATCTCAGTCAAATCCCTGCAGATACCAGAATTCAAACAAACTTATGGTCATGATTGTGGTTTGTTCTGCCCTTTTCCAAGGGGGATGGAACAGTTTTTCCTCATCCATCTCCTTCCCTACCTATCACTCTTCTTCCTCACAGGAAAACATGACATAGTAGTTAGGTCTAAAATGCTTTTTCTGTTCTCTTTTTTATGCTTCAGTAGAAGAAAGGATGAAGTAGATTTACAACTTCTAGATACAGGACCAGCTCTTTCCTCCTTTTTATGCTACTTTAACCGTCCTCACTTATTACACTCAGCCAGTTTACACAGCCATCTAGACATACTCTGGCTTACTATTGTACAACACAAATTAGGATATGGCCCAAGACAGCACAAGTAACACGGAAATATTTAGTCTACTAAATAACAAACCACATCATTCTGCACAGTGAAATATACATAAATTAATAACTTTGTTTCTTTAGTTCCACTGTTAAAATAAACCAAGCTAAGATTTGTTAGCATACACATACAATCTTTGGTTATGTGTGCGTTTATCCTCTTCTTATGGCTTTACAAAACCTAACATAGCTTTTCACAGGGCTGCAACAACATACCTGTATTTGTTTTTGTCCTTGTATGCCTTACGAATTCTGTCGGTCACAGGTTTGCAATTAGTCACTAGGTTTTTGGTTACTGGAGGCTGCAAGAAAACACTGTTTAGATTATAGGTTACTAAAAAACAGAGAGTCTGTTATAAAGATGTGCTTTGTAGAAAAACTTGTATTACAGTTAGAAAGGCCTGCATAAGCTTTACTCTCCTGGAATCAAAAGCATTAGTTTCTTGATCAACTGCTGAGGGAAAAAACAAAACAATACTGGTGCATAACATCACAATTTCCTATGCATACAAGTAATATATGAAAACTACGGATTTTTTTTTGGCAAAAAACTTTGCAACTTCTAGATTTCATTCTCAATAAAATATTCAGAAATTCTAACTCTTTTGACAGATATTCCTCTGATAAAGGCCACCAGTAACACTGGCCAGGCAAACTCTGCACAGCAGCTGATACATATGTTAAAACAATTGTGGAAAATAAAATCCCTATTCTTAGGAGATATTTCCATGGTGGTAGGCTCATTCCTAGAAATATAACTGTTGTAGACAACAGAAGTAAAAATAAATTAGGCCTCTGTGCTGAACACAAACACTGTTTTGTCACTATTTGAACTGACTGATAACATTAGTACATTAGGGATTACTGCTTAGATTAGTAATATTTTACTAACTTTCCAAAAAGATTAAAGTAATTTGACAATGTTCCCAATCACTGAGACTTATTTTTAACCCATCTTATAATATATTCATGGCAGCTATCCTTTATTTACTACTATTCTTCAAAGTTTTCTACTTCACAAAATTTTTCAGAATTAATTGAACGCCATAAAGAGGCAAAGTGAAGTAAGGCTGAAGTGGATGAAAGGTCCTCATACTGTACAGGATTCTCAAATCCATACTTTCATTTCTTCAAATCATGCTGACAGAATGGCTTTATATAGAATTTTGCTGTAATTCAGACTTAGGGAAAATATTTTTAAAACTTCATAACATAACCTGATACAAGGCAAGATAGATGTCCAGAGGGACACCGGGCACCACTGAGAAGAGCCTGGCTCTGTCTCCTTTGTGCCCTTTGTTCAGATATTTTTATACATTTAAGAGATCCCCCCCTTGAGGCTACTCTTCAGGCTCAATAGCCCCAGCTCTGTCTTCTCTCACAAGAGAAATGCTCCAGCCCCTCAATCGTGGTCCTTCATTGGACTCCATCCAGTATGTCCATGTGACCCTTGTACCAAGGAGCCTGGAACTAGACCCACCACTCCAGATATGGCCTTACCACCGCTGAGTGGAAAGGAAGGGTCATCTTCCTTGACCACCTGGCAACACTTTGTGTAATGCAACCCAGGCTACCATTAGCCTTCTATGCAGCAAGGGCACACTGCTGGCTCATGTTCAGGTTGGTGTCCCCCAGGATCCCCAGGCCCTTTTCTGCCAAGCTGTGTTCCAGCTGGGTAGTGCCCAGCATAATACTCCTGCATGGGGCTTTTCGTTTCCGGAGCAGGATTTTGCACCTCTCCTGGAAGAACTTCATGAGGTTCCTGTCAGCTCATTTTTGGATATTAAAATACGTCAGTCGAAAGTCTTCAAATTCTACAGATGTCCAGCTGGTAGTTTGGTGGGGATTTTTTTACTTTGTTTTGGTTTTATATATATGGGTTATAATTCAGATACAGACTTATCAGAGAGTTCTAGTCAAGAGAGGTACTGATCTTTATCTTTTTGGTTCACAACAGTAAATTTTCCTAACAAGGATGGACTTTTTAAATCCCAATTATAATAACATTCTAAAGCTCAGTTTTTCTCTGCTTTTAAAGAAAATTAAGGGGGTTTAAGTTAGGAAGTAGCTTGTAAAATTTTTACTGTGTAACACTTTATATACACACAAGTAGTAATTTTTATAAATACTTTCCCTCTAGAAATCAAACAAGCTTTTAAAGCACAATAAATACATACTCAAAGAAAACAAGTATTTTTAAGACCAATGTTTCTTACCAGATTTGGATCATAATATGCTTCCTGAGTCGGAGGAATAACATGGATCTGAGTAATGTTGGCAGGAAGAGCTTTAGAGCAATTTATTAGCATTTGTTCTAGACCTGTCAAATCCTAACAGAAAGAGAAGGAAAAAAGCCACATATAATCCTGTTTTCTCACTGACATAGTTCTAAAAATCCAGGGTACGTAGACATATTCAATGTTATCTACATAAGAAATTTCCACAAAAAGACTAAATATTCAGCAGATCCCATTTCAATAAGTGCTAAGTCATGGGACTCCCTACACACCCAAAGTGTAACACTGGCATATTAAATCCCAAATTAAGCAAACAGACAGAAAAATAAACTGAAAGGACGGGAAGATTTTCTGATTAAGGTACAGGCCAGAAACACACTTAAGTAGGGTTGTGTTCCAGCTATGCCAATCATTTTGTGCACTGTCACAAAGAGATGATTTCATTGGTTTGTCCCCATTTCCTCTCTGTAAAGCAGAAACAGCACATTTCATTCTTTATCTGCATCTCTAAGAGTGTAAGTCTTAGTAAGACTGTAAGTCAGTAAGACTGTGTCTCTGTTTATCAGACTCCTAGAAAAACAGAGGCATGAGTCTTTGTATATGGTTGTACTGTTTTTACTAGTATCACTTCTTTGCTACCCTTTTTCTCAATTCTTTCTTTAGACCACACGTTCTTCAGGGCAAGAACAGCCTTTTACTGTGTGCAGGAACTAGATTAAGCACAGAAGGATCCCACTCTTCACAGGGGACATTTTTTCTGACAAACTTACACTGCTTTCTTGAGCTGGGATACCAGTGAGCCATTTTTCTGATGCTGCTATAACTCAATTTAATTGCAGACTCCACAGAACAATGATAAAGTAGAACACAATGTTACATGCTCCACATAGCATTTAAAAATTGCAAAATTTTACAAATGCTATAAGCAAGGATAAATAAAGATGTGAATCCTTCTATTTTAAGAATTTTTGACTTTAAAACTGAAATTACTCTGAAAGTTATTGGTAAAGAAAGAGTACCTGCAAACTTAGTGGTAGTTCATGGATTCTCGTGGCCAATGTACGAATCTCTCGGTCAGACAAGATGCCTGACTGGTCCGTATCAACCTCATCGAAGATCTGAGAGATGTTCAGTGGCTGAACTGCACTCATAAGATAGTAGAAGTATGAAAAGGCGAACTGCATATCTTCTGAGTGCCGCACTTTGTGAAATGATGTCTTGTCAAACTCCTCAGGAAACCTAGATAAGAATAAAAACTAATTTAGCACTCTAGTTCCTTGACGTGAAACATTCCTTACCTATAAATAATTTCTTATCTAGAATTTTGAAAGGTCTTCAAAAGTCTCCTTATTTTAGCACAACTATCGTGTGGTAATAAATTTCTTATTTCTTTTTTCAAAATATAATTTTAATGAGTGGCCATTAACACACTGGAAATAGCTACAGCAAAGCAACAACAGAAAGGTAGAATTACTTGCAGTTTTACATTATTCCAAACAAAACCATACTCACATATCCTGCAGCTCTTGCATAACAGTGCGGTCAATCATGTGAGGCATATGAGCAGGGACTTTACGAGATGTAAATCCAAACTTGCTGTTTAAAAGCTTATTTACATATCGAAGGGAATCAGCAAATGTATCTTTCAGCTGCCTTCCAAAATGCTTCCCTTCAGTAAAGTATGACATTTGTTTGAGTAAGGACTCTTCTTCCTAAAGAGCAGGGCAGGCATAAATCAAAGTTACATTACTGAAAAAGGCAGAAAACATTAAATGCACAGGAAAAATGACATTTCAGTGAGGTGCCAACTCTTTGCAACACGTGAAAATGGGAAGAGAACTTTTGAATATTTTTCTTCACATTCCTTAGTTCTCTCTTTAAAAAGAGAAGATAAAAGGGAACCTTTTCCTTAAAGCTTTCATGCTTTGAGGAAAACTACTTTATAAAAGGTGTCCTTAATATTTATGCTCCAACACCTCACACACAACTAAGTCCCTATTTGTCATCAGATTTATTTGTAATATTGCCCTTTTTTTTGCTGATTATTCAACCATATTTGATAAACTGAAATCCTATGAATATAAAGATTCCTCATGCAAAATTCAATCTCAGATGAACAGAAAGAGATAATATTTCAAGAGCATAGCCCCTTTGCTATTTGGAAAAGGGCAAAGCAGTTGCTACCAACTGAAGCACAGTCTGTCTTATCTTCTAGAGGTTTTCAAAACTGCCAAAATGCTTTGGCTGGAAGCAGAGGAAATTTCCTACACATTTTCTTGACAGAGTTGAGATATGCAGCTTCTTCACAGGCTTTCAATTTCACTCCTAGAATGTAAGTATTTATTATTATACCTATTTTCTACATTTTTAAAACACAAACTGGATCCAAATTTGCATAAATGCTATCAAAACAAAATTTAAGCTTTCTCTTATAGTGCTAGATATGTCTGAACAACAGCACTGAGCCAACATACAATGAATAAAAAGTGAATTTCACCAAAAGAAAGGCTGTCGAAAGGGAACAGAAATGGCTATTTGGTTTAACCACCTAGCTAAGAGAGGCCCAGATCATAAACAAATTAGATTTTATGTGAAAAGTCAAAAGTAGCTTTCCAAAAATATCAGCATTTGCCTCAAAGGCAAAACACATTCCAAATATATAGATCATATTAACAGTATTAACTAAATGCAGAAAGATTCCAATAAGCAATGACATTAAGATACTCACATCAAGAAGGTCCTGGAAATACTTCTTTTTCTCCCATGGCAAAAAGCCTTGGTAACTTCCAGCATAAGACTGTAATTTTCTTCCCACTAGCCCCTCCCTTTTATTTGTATCCACCTCCTCCTGCTCTTTTCCTCCTTCCATTCCCTGTGCGCCTTCTCCAGTATCTAAATTCCCAGTATGTTTTGATTTCTGTGTTTCCCTTAATATGAGTGCATTCAATACTTTTTCTCGAGTTTCATTTTTTTTCCCCATGCTCTGGGAGGCAAGTGTGGCTTTAGGCTTTACTTTATAAATAGATTCATTTGTGTTCATCGTCACAAGAGTCCCCTTTGTTCCCATAGGCCTTGAAGGAACTTCTTCATTTGCTTTTATGGTTTCTATTTTGCCATTATTTACAGCTTTATAAGGCTTCTTCCAGCTAGTATGGTTCTTCTGATCTTCTGAATGATTATGCATACCCTTCTTTTCCAGGCCTATAATACTCTTCACTGTAGCTAAGAACTGGAAAGGTCTCAGGAGAGCAGCCTTGGATAGATTAAATCCTTTCTGAGTGATATCACCATTTAGTAGTTTTAAGTCCAGGTTCTGCAGTTCCAGCTGAACATTTTCAGGAAGAAGAGACACATTTACTGATGGTACTATCACCTCTTCATGCAGACTCTCTTTTGTGCCATTTTGACGTCTCCTGACTCTTGGAAAGCGTTTTTCTTCAGGAATATCCTCAAATATCATTTCAGCTTCTGGTACTGAAGTTATACTTTTAAAATCAGAGTTGGATTTTTGTGTGGAAGTTGTGTTCAGTTTTGGTTCCTCTCTAGTATCAACTTCAACAGCTACTTGCATTTTAAACTCTTCATCATTTTTATTTAGGAATGTAAGGTTAAAATAGATCACAGTTGCATTCATGCCACTGTGCATTATGAGGTGGATAGTCTTCCACTTGTTAGCAACTGAAGCATGACGGATAATTGGATTATCACTATATGAACCCTCAATTCCTTTCTTGGCTATTTCGCTGAAGCTGAAGTAGGGCAGACATTCACCTTTGGGAATAACATAGTAGGTCTGATTAAGCTGAAGTGTCACCTTGTACATCTCTTCAAAGTGATCTGGAAAAGAAACAAAAACATGAAACAAAACAAATTTCTGTCAATTTCCAGCGTGACATTTATATTTCACTCTTTTTTAAATTGTAATACGCCCAGCTAAATTCACTGTATTAGCAAGAGATAGCTCTGTGAAACAACACTTACTCTAGCTTCCAGTTTCTTGCTTGCTTATCTTCAATAATGGATGACAAGAACATACTCAGATATATAAAGCTATCAGACATTCCTATGCTAATGCTAAAATCCAGTATAATTTATCATTCTTTTCAGTTTCTACCTGAAGAGCCTTAGTGGCTTGTTATCACATGCCACTTAAAATTCTGTATCAGTCATAAGTAGCTTGCCCATATTACATTTTTGCCACATTTTAGGAGATTAATGTTACAGTGACTGGATTTCACTGCTACACTGCATCTTGATTTGAAACTTCCAAAGTCAGATAGGCTGAACGGAAGTTCTCCCTCCCACAGCACAACAGAACAAATTCTGTCAACTCTCATATGAACAAAACCTCGCTGCAGGCAAGAGAATTGCCAGCAACACATTTGTCTGAGCTGAGATGCAGAGGAGCCTCTACTCTTCCAAAGAGGCCAAATTCTTCCTCGACTATACTAGACAGCACTTTCAATCACTTCATTCATTCCTGCTAGCCTTTCATAACCAAATAAACTTCCGAGAAGTTCACAGGTGACAGAGTAGCCTTTGGCAGGAGCCCAGAGACAGACTTGAACTCTCACTGTCAGCATCAGAGAGGTTCTTTAATTTTTTTAACTGCTATAGGCATCATCAATTCAATTGTCCCTATTCAGGTAAAGACACTTTGCATAACTGAAATGTCATTTCTCCACTTAAAATGTAAGTCTCTTGGGGGAGGCAGTTTAATGCTTGCTGCTCTCTAAGGTATCAAGCCTACATCCATGCTTGGTCACTATTAAATAAAGCAGCATATAATATTGATCCAGGTTTGGATTAGTGAGTACAAGAACCACCTGATTTCTTTTTCAGCTGCTACCAGCCCTTTTCCACAGCACTGTACAGGGCAGCTTAGCACAATCTGAGAGTAATGTTGAACCAAAAAGGTCAGGCAACTCGAGAATCCCTACAGAAAGTTTATCAGTGATGCATTTTACATACCCTGGCCACAGTCACCAGCATCAAATCCACATGAGAGGACGTTGCAGGCCTGATCACAGAATTTGTCTGCCAGCCAGGAATTAGCGCAGCCTTGGTTACAGTATGAAACACCACTTATTCCTGCACCAAACTGCCACGGTGGTCCATTCCCAATACCTCCAACTGCACCTCCGCCAGCAACATAGCGACTACCCCCACTGTTACCTAGAGAAAAAGGAGAAAAAAACCCCCACCAGAAATAAGAACTTCAAATGACTGAAGAAAGGCACATTTTAAGCCACATTGTTAAATCTAGACTGAAGACTCAACAATCATCAGTGAAATTAAAAAGGGGCCAAATAATATATAAAACTGTATATTCATTATACAATAATACATAATAAATTTCAAACCCCTTCCTTTCAGCTAGTCAAATTTGGTACCTAAATAAGGATTTTCCTATGCCCTACTATTTCCTGTCATTTTCCATAGAAATTTGTAGTTTGCAAGATAGGTTTTCATAGTTAAGTCAACTTTTTTATTATCATTAAAGGAGGCAAATTTTATAGTTATAGGAAAATGACAAATTACAGAATTATTCTTGTAAGGAAAAACAAACAGTTCACTTTTTCTAAATTTAACATTGCTGTCTTACCAATGCAATCACCTCCATCCCAATCACATGCTGAGTTATTACAGGCTTTATCACAGTAACCATCCTTAATCCATGAGCCAGGACATCCCTCAGCACAGTTTGGCACTGGCCAAGTCAAGTAAACCTGGAACAATATTACAGTCTGAGACAAGGACTGGCAAAACTGAAGTCAATTGAGCTTGTTTCTTGGAATATGGAGACTTAAAATAATGCCTCTCTGTGTGCTGTACCTTAAGATTCCATAAAGCTTTACAACAGTATTTAAACCCTATCACATGTGAAATAAATGTCATCAGTTTCAAACAGAAGGAAGAATTGAAGAATTCCCAAGGCCACACAGCCAAGCAGAAATGGCCAGAAATAGAAAGCAGGACTTCCCAAATCTACTTCTGCAAACCACAGACCAATGAAAACTAATATTTTCTCATTTGCCAGATAGGAAGGGTAAACTTAACTCTGAAATAGCTCCACAGCTCACTTGTTCTCCTGACTCAAAATGTTTCTTCATTACTAACCAGTCATGAGATAAACAGCACATGTTGAACATAATCCCTGAAGCATCTGACCCTGTGACTTAAATAATTCTAAGAACTGCCACGATAAAAAAAGGTGTGTAGGTGTGTATATTTTCAACGGGGGAGGCATTAAAAACCACACACATTTTCCTTGAGGCCTCATGGTTTCAAGATTTTAGCAGCACATTTCCTACTGAAACACGTGCTGATCAGGTTATCACAAACAATGCTGCACCTATGCTGACTCCATCATAACTGGGATGAATAACTGAAGAACAATACAAACGCAATAACAATATATTTTGCAGTTATATGCCTACATCTTCAAAGATTTAAAACAACTAAAAGCTTCCTAACATCCTCAAGTACTGAAGCAGCTATTTTAGTGTAGCTTAAACTAATTTTGTACAACCCTTCTGTGTTTGTGCACAAGTGTGCAGATCTGCCTGTATGAAATGTTTAATTCAATGGTCTCAGTGCCTTGTGTACTCACTGCTTTAATATAAATAATATAAATATTTACTTTTTTCCTCCATACCACTCTTGTAGATCAAGCTCATGGATGAAAACTCTGATAGCAACCAGAGCCTTTATGCATAACTGCTGCTGATGTTTCCTCAGCCTGCTCTCCTTGCTTAACTCCAGTTGTTAATTATAGGTTTGTTGAAATACTAAATTACTCTGTGTTCATGAACATGGAACAACATCTACTTCAGTAAATAATTATATATATGATTATATACAGATTGAGCAAGATATTCCTGGTGTCTGGAACAGAGGTAATGATAAATTTAAATACTAGACCAGTTTAAATGTCACCTGATCTAAGTGTTCCCACAGAAGAATTGATTCTGGTTTGAGTATTTCCCACAAAACAAAAGGAATATTCAAAGGAGGAAAGACTGATAGCTGCCAAACACCACATGAGTCTTACCAGTGCTCTAACAGAATGTGGGAGAATTAGAGAACAACACTGAAACTAAAGCATGAAGTCTGACAGAGGAACCATTATACCCCCCGAAACCTATGCGTGAATATGAAAAAAAGTAATTCTGCAACCCCAACATCAACACACCACACATAAAAATACAGACAAGAGCCTTCCCCATTCTGCACCTTTGCTAACAGTTGTGTAGTTAAGAATAACGAACCTTTTGAGACAAAAGGGGGAGTGGAGAGCAGAGGGAAATAATCTTATATTTGCTCTGCCTTTTAAAGTAGCATTTCTGTGATTTTTATTATATTAGCATAGAAAAGTTCTACATCTACTTCTGGTAAGATATATTTTCATAATGGTTTACCTTTTGACCTTTAGAGTGACTGTAAAAATCATCAGGCCAAACATCCTTCCCAAACATAACATCATCATTGAGATAAATAAACTTCTGAGAAAGGCCACTGATACGATGAATATGACTTTCAATAGCTGGTGAGCTGAAAGTAGGCAAGTGACTCACATTCTGAAATATTTCCTAAAACAAGAAAGTCACCAACAACAAAAAACAGATTCAGAAGGCAAAAAAACAAACCAACCCTAAAAAAAAACCCAAAAACCCCCAAGCCATAAAAGGTCAGGCACACCAGATATTTTATACTTATCTACTAAAAAAATTATAAAGAACAAAGAGCGACGAAATAAGTAAATGTATTTTAGCAAAATAAAGACTTCAATATCTCATTTTTCCCATGCAAAACCATTTTCAAGTCTGCTCCTCAACTAAGAAACTGTACCCGGTTCGTTACAAAGACACAAACTTTCACACACTCCTCTTTCATTGGGTACTGGATCAGGCCAAGTGTACACATTTATAATTCTCATGAAGTACAGGCTGCATGAAATTTCCAGCAAACTGAACCTCTTCCAGCATTCAAATAATCAGGATTGTTCCATCTCTTTCAAGTAACTTCATAAGCAGACAGCAACAGAAGTTGAATTAGTATCTTATGACCACTTCGGTTGCTCAGAGCTCCTGTTGCATGTCCAGATACCAAAATTACTCCCAAATTCTTAATAAGCTACTAGAGTATTTTTGTTTAACTTATTCAGGAAGCTTGAATTTCTCTTTTTAAATAACACTTTTAGAATGCATAGATACTTTTTTTTGTAGCCACTTTCTCAGTTCCAGTAATTGTAATCCATCCTGTCTCAACACAAGCTTATTAGGTTATTACTGGTTCTGAGAGAGTGTCTGTGGATTCAGATTACATTTTCTTCTCCCCAGGTTTTTTATAAATAGACTCTATAAGGAAATTAGACATGGGTATACATTAGCTGAAGCCTCAATATTTGGAAAAGTGGACTAAATAAAGGCTTGACATATATTCAGTTATCTGGTTAGCTAAAACACAAAGACATACTGGGGTTTAATAAAACCATGGATGAGACAGGGAAGAGGTTGTCACTTCTTCCAAATAAATGCAGCCTTTAGCTGAAAGTGGATAACTGCATTACAAAGCAAAACCAGCATCATACTGGTATTTTTGTTTGGGGTTTTTTGATTGGCTTTTGTTTGGGCTTTACCTGATGTGTCACTATTGTTATCCGAGGATTATCCAGGTTAAGCCAGGAAGGAATCTGCCCATTGGTGACGATGAAAATATGTCGCACCCAAGGGGCATGCCTCTCTATTGATCGTAAGGAGTATCTCAGCTCTTCATTATCTTCAAAACGGCTGGCAGAAATATCTTCATCCTGTTTGGACTAAAAAAAGAAAAAAATCCTTCCTTAGATTCTACACAGAACATTCAAGTTCTGATCCAGCTAGGTAAGGATAGTGTGCTTGAGCACATGGGTGCATAAGCACTTCAGGACTTAGCCATTCAAAAATAAAAAGTATATTGATCAATAACAGTTATTCTTATAAAGGATCATATTCTTCTGAATTATCAGGATGAACAATACAGTCTTCTGACATCATTGGTTGACCACCTGGTATCATTAGGATGTCTGCTGACCACACTGCAAGGTGACACTGCCTTGTGTGATACTAGTTCTCATAGAAAGAAGTCCAATAAAAAAAAACCTCCTGCATTTCAAAACAGTAACATTACCTTTCAGAAATCCAGTTTCAAGAGGCTGAGACCTTCCAAGTACATTGCATCATAAACTGTATTTAAAGGTCTCCTAATATAGATATACTGGAAGTGTCATGATGTAGCAGCTCTGCAATTTTCCCCTGCTCTATTATTTTAAAGAATTTAAGCAGGAGAAAATAAACAAAACTTAGCCCAATACTCACTATCAAATAGCTAAATGTTTCCATATGTTTCTATTAAAGAGAAATTTTTTCAATTAGAAACTCATTAGTTAAGTAACAAAATTAGGTTACACGGCACAGTAACACGTTTCTTTTCCCTTTTATAGGAACTTAATGACCTCTCCTAAAACCTACAATTAAGGCTGCTTAACAGGAACATTTCTGAAGTCCAAATGAAACAGGAAACTTAAGAAAATATTTAACAATTACCATTTTCACTGCAGATGCTAGACACAAACTAAGCCTTCTTTTCTGATACATACAGTAACACAGCTTTCACGTCATCAAAAGCTTAATACCTGAAAACATTTCAGCAATACCAGCAGCCATTGGCTAGGTATCCATTCCCAAAATAATGCATAATTTCAACATGGGGAAATATAAATTTTGAGTTCAGGGTTGGTAGGAAGAGTTCCCCAAAAGCCTTGTTCACAGGATACAAAGACACTGCAAGCTTTTCTGGGTTGGGCACATTTACTTTATCCATGCCACTTCACATTTACTGTAAAATTAAATTCCAGCAGGAGAAAAACCCCAAGATTTTAGAAAATCTTGTCTTGGAATAGACACCTTGTTATTTCATTTCCTGTTTTTAAACCAATCATCCTTTCTGTATCAAAAACATTCAAAGTAAGCCTCCTTTCCTTACAGACATCTATCTATTCCAGGACTTCAACATTTTCGGAAGAGAAGCAGTTAGCATTTGCTCAGCATAAATGATGCTGCAAAGCAAAAAATTACTAAGAAACATATTGGGAATCAGATAATCATGTTTGCTAATAAAAGCCTTATCTGTCCCACACAGGAAACCTGCTTATCTGCTAGTCAGTATCAGTTAAGCCTTTCAGGACTTGACTGCACACAACTTTATCAGAACACGTGCAAAATTTTTCACTTAGTGGAGAACATGAAAATTTCAATTAAACATCACACTGTTTGATTCTTCCCCCTCCTTGACTTGAGAACTGGACAGTGTTCTTGTGATGTTTCTCACAACCTCATAAGTACTTGATTCTTAATACTTCCAAGCTTCTGGAAGAAATCCCATGTTCCTTGTCATTGACTAGTTAGCCTCTACTTGCAGTTTTTAAATGCTGTAACCTTTATGTGCTGTAACAGAATTTACCTACCTGACTGACAGAGCTGAGGTCCCATAATAAATAAGCAGGATTAAGCATCAGTTCTTTCCCATCTATAGTCATGTTCTTCTTTGCTTGCTTGTTCAGTTCTTGGAAACCCTTAGGGTTATTCAGTTGCAAGAGAGCCACGCTGGCTTCTGAATAGAGCTGTAACTATACAAGCAGAGAAAACAATTTCTGGCAGGCAGCCCAGCAGCACTCTTTCTTTGCCAATTCCATATTTTTGTTGTATTTTTCTTACTAGAGTTACTGATAAAAATGACTGCTAAGTACTGTTTTTAAAGAACTATAATTTTGTAAGAACACAAAAAGCAGTAGTAAGATGGGAAATGAAAAACATTTAAAGATACAGAACATTTCTAGATGCTTAATTTTCACTTTACAAAGAAAATTTCTCTTTACACAATGATCCAGTCAGCAGTAAAGCTGTTCATGTTATAAATATTTCTGGAGCAAGTGAATACTAAGTCCCCATCCATTCTCTCCCACCCTAATAACAAAATTCGTGTTTTATGAAAACTTTATTATATGACTGAAAGAATCATCCTTTTTTTTCCATCTCAATCAAGCAATGATCTTCCCAGAAAATTAAGGGCACCAAGGTATCGTCGCTGTCAGACGCGTGAAATTTTCAGGATGGTTTACAGTTAGTTCAACCTACAGCTCCGAAATCTGAGATACAAAGGGCTCCAGAGCTAATCCATGTGGGTCTCCAAGTCCTTAATGATGGTTGCCAATATGCTGTTAAGGTCATTTCTTAGTTGTGGACTGTTTGATCTGTTTGCTGTTTTTATCTCTTGCCACCAGTAAGTCTGTATATCAGATTTCATAATGCACAGGATGAGGGGCTTGCACTACACACCTGCTCACCCTTTCTCTAACAGCTAATAGAGTTTACAAATGACAGGGCACCAAAGCATCTCCGTAGTAATATGGTATAATCCAATAAAATGCTGAGTTTACCATATGAAGTAGCATGAGCAGATACCACCAAGCTAAAAGCAGAACTGCACTTTGATTTTCCAAGTGCATGCCTGATTGAGAATAAATGCAGTTAATCATTAACAATATTTATTTGAGCCTATGCTGAATTTTTGTTCCTTCAGGCAACATAAGACAAATAACCACATCTACCAGGTTTTCAGTTGCATAAGAACTGTAAATGCAATTCATAAGTTACCAAAATTTGAATAATGTCGGGTTCAAAAAAAGCAAATCCATCAGTTTCTTCCATAATAACCTTAAGTGGTTTTATTTCTTTATTTTTTATTAAATGTGACCCTTTCTGCTCATTTTAAAACACCACTTGTCCCAGAGTTAGCAGCCCTTCCCTTAGTAAGACCAGCTGTTCCACTTGTGACATTTCAAAGCTGTTGATGCTTTGACTCATATGCTATTTGAGATCTTTCAATCTGACTTATGAGGCCTGCCATTAGAAAAATCTGATAAATCTCAGACCTTCCAGGGAATCATCTGAACCTATGGGTGGAAAGGATGGCTTCAGTAGCTAAATGGCTGAGGTATAGTTACGGACTGCAGCCAGCAATCTCCAAAAATATCGGGATCGAAATGCTACAGATTACAAAGCTGCCATCACTGGGTATGTGCTTTATTTAGGAATACAACAGTGTCACACAGTCCCCCAGAATCTGTTATTTAAAACATACATATAACAAACCAAAAATATTACCATTCTAGAGCTCTGAAAGCATTTAAGAACATTCAGTTTCTCTTTAACTTGTTCCCACCAGCAAAATAAGTACCTGTACTACAGACTCCTAACTAGACTTATTACAAACACTTTCCCTTTCCCCCCACAAATACAGCATATATGCTGTAGTTTTTTTAATTTGTAATATTCCAAGCACAAACAAGAAGTAGTGGAAAAACACTCCACTGCTCAGCATCAGTTAACCTAAACACTAAAATATATAGATTGTTTTTATTACATCAATGTGTTTTTTTTTCCAGTAATACCTTTTTTAAGAAACCAGTCTGTTCCTAAGCAGAGATATCAATAAAGTTAGATTTCAATGAAGTCATCTGGTGACATAACTAACTAGATTCTAATAAATTGCAGGCTCTCATCTGAGCATTTTGTTGCTGGTATATTCAAAATGGAATTTTCTCCTGGAAGATTTTCTAATGTCTCACAGGTATTAACCTCCTCTCGGTAGGGATGCACACAATTGCCCATTCCCTTGGAATATTACCTTCTACAGAACATCATTCTGCCAAAGAAGGTCAGCAGATTCAAAGGTATTGTAAAGACAGAACAGAAAAACCAGCAGGTAGATGGTCAGTGTAACCAGGCGAGGCTCTGCTAACACAAGTGGGCTGAAAACACTCTATGCAGGCACACGCCCGCACCACCACTGCACATTTCTATCACACACTTGAAAACGAGACAGGAAAGCTGCATTTTCTCCATCAGGTGGCTTTAAATGCAGGTTCTCCTTTGGAGCCAGCATGTTTGGCAATGTTTACTAGGAGACAGGCTAGATAAGCTCAGACATCCCATGTGGAAGTAAACACCTTCATTTCCATTTTCTCAAGGTAAGAGGCCTTGAACACTTTTTTTCTGAGGTAGGACTTAGACTCTTAATCAGTCTTTAAGTTACGTTGCTTTATCTTCTTAATGACCGAAGTTGATTGTTAAAGAAATGAGATGCTCCTTTTTTCACACTGAAATATGGATATTAGGAAAATTCATATGCCCACATAGCAAGGGAAGGGGGCCATGTGTTGTATTAAAGAGTTACAAACAGCTTAATGAATATGAAACGCTACTGTCTTTACAAATGTCTCAAGTTCCCTTCGTAAGGTGATACAGTAAGAGGCTCATCTCTAAGCCAAAACTAATGCAATGCCTTAAGTTTTTTTCCACCAAGCTTACTTACTCCATCTGTGTGATCATACAACACCAACTCCTAAAGCCACCTGCCTGCTCCAACAACACCGACAAGCCACAGTAAGAATCCCAGACCCCTCATACTCAAGGCAGTGAGGACAGCAAACACCCAGCATCACTGCGCATGCAGGTTCCCAGGTGGATTTTCTTCCATTAGTAAGACAAGGTCACTAAGATAGCCCTTAGTTTCTAACATACCCCGTTCATATTTGTGTATTTGTGTGCGCATGTGGATTAAAGGAGACAATGTTTTGCAAAGAGGGAGATCTCAGTTGTCCTTGAGGCAACCAGGATATCAAATCTTGAAAGAAAATCACCTTTCTCCAAAAATTTTCACTTCTATATACAACCTCAGTGAAAAATCGTTAGCATGACAGCCTCAAAAAACCAAAATCAAACAAATCAAATCCCCTTGCCCAGTCAATCCTTCCCTTGTCAGTCTTTACATCACGACTTAAAAATTAAGTCACAACTGGCTCTTTAAACTGAATAATAGTTTTCTATAGAAATGTAGTTAAGGGGCGGGAAAGTGAAAACAAAATGTTCAGTTGTTCTTCATGTAGAGGTCCAACATAATGTCTTTTAAACAGCTCAGCAGCCATCAGCTGCACAACCAGAGTAACACCTCCATCTAGTGGCTTGTTAACGCTCGGTTAAGAAAGCACAGACAATATAAAGCAGCCAAATATAATTTTCAACCTCATCGGTCATAACACTCAATGTAGAACAACAACTATGACCAACAGCCACACTCCTGATTAACTTTCATTTGGAAATAAAATTCCATATCATTACATTACAGCGTAGGCCATAAGTACAAAAATTCAGTAGACCGTAACAGACATAATTCACCTTGGAAATGAAACCATTATATCATAAATCTTCACCTTTTAACCACTTCTAGTTGAGCTCAGCTGTTTTTCTCATATTTTTAGAAGAAACATCTGGCCCAGATGTCTGAACAATTTTTGGTCCTCTTTGGATTCAGAAGGGATTTGAATCAAACTAAAGCAATCCAACTAAAACAGCATTATCAACATTCAACATAAGCTCACCGACAGCTACGCTCCTCCTACTCACCAACAGCTATACTCCTCCTTTTCTCACTTTTCCTCCCTTCTAATAGCAGCATTGCTGGAAGTGTTTTTCATCATTTCTTTACTTCCAGCATTGCACTAAGAAACAGCCACTTAAAGCATGCAGAAACCCATTAAGCATCAGAAGGCATCTGTGAGACATAAGTCTAGCCTAAACTCAGGCGCAACTTTCTTCCTTTCCACCAGGCATCTCACACCACTTCAGAGAGCTTAGATTAACAGATATGATAACAACAGAGGAATTGCTTCAGATTTCAGTGGAGACTGCCAACCTTTCTTCTACTTCACTGTAGCATTAACCTAGCATGTCTCTTTGGTAAGAAGAAAACCACAGTTGGCTGCGTTTACCATAACTGCCTACCTATAACATCCATTGAAAGAATGGAGTCTGAGCTTGGATCTTAGCAAAGGCTTCTATAGAAACAACACACTTCATGTGTAAAAATTTTATGCAGGCAATTAAAATATTTCTTACATTTATATACATATATTTCATTTGAAGTATAACATACAAAAATTGCTGCTATCAAGAGTAGAGAACTGGTTGAGAAAGAACTCACTGCTATGACCACACGGGGTACAATAATCTCAAATTAATTGTTCTAAAGCATCCACCACCAGTAAAAGAGACACAGAAAGCAAAGATGACTGGAAACAGAAACTGCAGAATGCTGTGGATACCTGATAAAAGACTGTGTTTCTACAGATATGCCTAGCCAAATTGCAGAAGAGAATTCTTAGGAACAGACAATGAGTTGATCACAATGGCAATGTTCACACAAAGATAAGAACACACTAAGGAAAAGGGAACCAGCACAAATAGATGACACATGACTGATGACAAGGAAAAAACCACAATCAAGACAGCGCAGGGAAAAATCATGTAGAAACATGATAGGTATGGGATGCCACTTCCATAAAAACAGACAAGGAGATGGAAAACATATCTAAGACAACCCAGAGATGCAGCCTTTATGTTCATCTGGACAGCAGTGAAAAAAACACAGAGAAACTATAGTATTTCTAAGATTTGCTGAAGAGCTAACCTGGTGATCAGCCTGGGCACAGACAACAGCTGCTTGGATATGAGAAGTACAACTGAAACACAGGAAGAATTCATCTGTCATGTTTTCTGTTGGACTAATACTGCTAGGAGAGCCTACTGACATAGAAAAAGCGATGATGAAAGCAATCAGCTGATCAAATGAAAAAAAAAATAATAATGTAATCAAAAAACTAAGGTCCAGGCATAATTGTTCCACAAGTCTTAAGACCACAAGAAAATAATAAAACCAGCAGATGGCTCAAAGGTAATTAGGAGAAATCCAGGTATTTCATTCTTCAAAGGTGTCCATGGAAGATGAAGTCTCTCTATTCTAGCACATGGGCTAGCCTAAGGTCTGTGCTTGACACATTTACAGCAGAAATCCTGGAGACAATTATGAACTTCTCAATGCTGAAAGCAAAAAGTCCATACAGGAGTATTAAGGAAAAAAAACTATCAACACTGACTTTAACAACAGTCAGAAAATGCAATTAGAGAAATAACTACAATGAATGAAGACAGAAATTATCTGCCGAGAGCTGGGGAACAAGGAAAAAAACAGAGAAAACCCACTCTCAACAGGAAGTATTCATATACTAAAAGTACTGTGTTTTAGCAGCAAAAATATTAGTACAAGCCATAACAGACATCGGAGGAAAGAAGAGAAGGTGGTAAAATATCAAGGACAGAAAGACACTGAAGGGTCCAAGAAAAACACATAAAAAGTTACTATGACAAAGGAACACCAAGTGCTAATGACACAAGACACCAGAAATAAAAAATAAAAAAGTGGGTACTGTGGATAAAAACTGATTTAAGTCAAAATCATTTCAGAAAAGAGCATAAAGCAACATCTGCTAAAGGACAGAAAATGAAATTCCAAATATTGTTTGCAGGAAGAACATTCTTCTCCTACATTACTATGAGAGCCTATGTCTATGATGTTCAGCCAGAGAACAAACATTGCCTGGGATGATGCTCCAATATATTCCCAGATGTGGTAGCAGGCAGATTTCTTTTCCACAAAATAATCTGTGAACTGAGAGAGGCAATATCATTTCATATACCAATTTGGTAATTAATGAGAACATTACAGAAGAGCTGTAGAAAATAATTCCATGTCAGGAAAACATAAGCTAATAGTTTTTAAATTGAAACACAAAAAACATAATTAAGGAATGTCATGTTACTAGATTTCTTGAATGCTAAAAGCACAATTTTAGCAAATGTAAAGAGCTGATCCAAAGACATTCCGAGCTCTTCAGCTACATTAAGTCAAATGTGTTAAAACTACCAGGAACCTGTAACTGAAGCTGCGGTGAGGAACCAGAATAGGCTCGAAACCCAAACAGATGAACCTGTGCTCAAGTAAGATTGTTCAGATGGCTCAAAGTCAGGAAGCATTTAACTAGCAATGTTCCTCATGCAAACTTGAAATGAAGAACCTAACAACTGAAGTACCATCTCCTGTTGGATAGTAATCTCATTTCTCTACAGAAACACCATTTCTTTAAAGTGATTAAAAAAAATACCCACAGCTTATGAAACAAGCAGAGACTAGCAGACTGGCCATATAAATATCCACTGTTGTTTAACCCTGTGACGCTAGAGATGTAAATAAAGGCAAAAAAAAGCTATTCAAGCTTAAATGGCTGTTTAAAAGCTCTATTAAGTTGTTTTATGTAGGAAGATGAATGTAGGAATGTAGAAAGAGAGGTACAAATGAGTTTACTTTGCAAGGTTTCTACCATTAGCAAGACTAACACAGCCAGCTAACACAAGCTGAGACAAGAAAGAAGAAATTCAGCTTGTGTTATATTGCAGTGTGACCAGCCTATGAAGGGGATTACACAAGACAATTTCTGCAATAGAATACACAAGTTGTTAATCCAGCTTGCCAAAGAAAAGGAAAGGAACTTGTGCTCATTTGAGCACAAAGAACAAGCCATAAAGTAAATTAGCACATGGTACAGGTGGACATTAGATTAATGAAGACAAATTACCTATGGACTGCCATCCCTTTATCCCTGCTAACTCCTTCTCTTCCACAAACTGCTAGGCCTCAGTCCTTTTCACACCACGAATTACATCTCTCTTCAATACATAGGCCAATGACTGTAATAAACTTCTTAAACTTTTACCTATCTGTTAAACCTGTTGTAACTCAAACAGCTGTCCAAGCATCAATGAAGAACAAGAGGTGCTAAATGTCAGTAGATGACAGTCACACAAGTTGTGTGATCTGCTGCCTTGCATGTGGGTAAACTGAAGTGCAACTTGCTCAAGACCCTACAGAGATCGTGGCAGAGAGAAATGCAGTGTTCGGTGCTGTTACTATTAAGAGAATTCCTCTAAAAGCAGAGAGGGAAGAAAAAAGCTAAGAAGCTACATAAACGAATTGCTGTCATGTTAAACAAGTCAGTGATCTAGAATCCTACAGCAAGACAAGAGCCTATAGCAAATGGCTGAGAGAAACTGATAAGGTTGGTACCTTTTAACCAGTTGCAAACTAGCAAATCTAAAGCCCAATAACTTGCAGTCACAGAACAAACAACTGGTCATTTGAAGGCAACTCTTCGAGACACAATTTGCTACTCTTCACTACTCAGGAAAGAGTCACACAAAAAAACCAGATTACTATCAGAAACATCCTAAGTCTCCTCAGTGAGTGAGATCCCATATGTGAGCCATTCCAAAAGACCAATACAAGTAAGGTACTCTTTCTTCCAGACCCTTACCAGTTTTACTTTAGAGGCCAAGCTCTCAGGCAGTTTTGTTCGTAGCTGATTTGTTTCTTTGAATGTAGCTGGAAATCCACTAAGGAAGGCCAAGTCTTGCATTAATACCAGACCTGGAACTTCTTTGTCTGTAGTCTAAAAACGAGAATACAGGGTATAAAGATCTTTTTACACTTACACTAAGGTTTATTTTAAAAGTTTTCACTTTTTACTACATGCAAGTTATGGAAAAAGAATAATCCAGAAACTTTCTAAAAATGTACAGAATGTTTAACACATACAAAAGCTAATTGGTAGATTTTAAAAGAACGTACCAAGTAAGCCCTCCACACTATCTGTTTGCTGTTGTCTTTCATCATTCCAGAATGGGCAGCTTCAACTAGAATACATAAAATGTATTGTAGATCAAAAACTGGAAGTCACTTCTTTTTGATATTCTATTAATCAAGATATATATTTGCAAAGTAAAAAGATTTCAATATTTATGGTGTGAAGAGTTATCTTTTTAAGTAGTAAATAACTCTTGGTAGTAAAATAAACACTAGTGGTTGGGCTAGTGGGTGGTAGTGGTTGGGCATTCCACATTAAACAAAAGAAGAAGCTCATACTTGCCCTAAGATCCTACTTATATATGCTGAACACATGAATAATTTTGGTTTACAGTATGCAATCCTTTGAGCAAGGGCAGAACTTATTGTGCAATATTTAAACTAGACTTCACAGCAATTAAGGGAGGACTTCTAAAACTAATCTTCCTCATTCTAAACCTCAGCCTTCTGAGATTATCAGTGCAAGGCAGATACTCAGATATCAAACCTGTTTTGCAATAGTCTTTCAAAGCATGGAACTCTAATCATCTGTAATCAGTTGTCTGGGAGGTAAACAAATGGTATCATTAATGTTATCGTTTGGAGGAACAGACTGAGGGCTAGAGACACAGAATGACTTGCTAAAGTCAAACAGAAAATTAGCTGCAGAGTCAGTAATTGGAGGAAAAAAGAACCCCAAAACTAATTCACAGCAGCTTACCAAAAAAGCTTCCTCTAGAAAACTGGATGGAATCAGACAAAGAGGTTCTTACCATCCTTAGGGCTATCAAAAACAATTACTGTCACATTGGTAGAAGGATTTTTTGGTTTTGCTACAAAGAACATATTGTTAGCAGCTTGTAAAGCAGGATGAATGGACAGCAGGTCCTTCAGTGTGACGTTGATAGGCAGTGCAGGATCCAGGACAAGCATTGGCACTTTGATGCAGTGTGTCAGCAAACACTCCAGTTGCTTCTCGCTGCAGCAAAATACCAAAGGTATATTTAACACTAGTAGAAAATTTAGGACAAAAATCAATGTCAGATGCAATCAGAGATGTTTTTGTAAAATCGGATCAATTGTTTGTAACGCTTGCTGTGGCAGGGGGACATTGCTGAAATCACGTTTATTTTGCTGCAGAAGGGGAATATTTGACTGCTAGTGTTTAGTTCATTCCCATAACTGTTTTTTCAGAAGTTTCCAAGATTTCAAAGTCTGCCCACACAGAAGCCCTTATAAAAATCTCTAAATAACAGAAGGACCAAGCCAAATGAATGTGACAAACCAGGCCCTGCCACTTCCTGGCGGCAGAGCCACAAGTGGCCCTGACCCTTCACAGGCAATCACTTGCAATGCCATGTATACAAATGTTGAAAAAATGTTCATGCTTTTGAATCATAAAACTTCAGGTACATACACATTAAAAATTCATACTAGGAATAGGGACTGTGCCTAAACAGTGACAAGGATATGCTTTTCAAACTCCAGAAATTGTTATGTTTTAAGAAGGTCATTCACACAATGTCACAGTACCATTACTTTTATTCAACATATATATATATTATCACACTCATCTTTTCTTGAGGTGACATAGGAAAGCATGCATAGACCACAGAAGACCAAAACACCACCCCAACCAGCATCTGCTTTCAGCTAACAATGAATAGATTATCACTTATTCCAATTTATGCCCAAAACTACAAAAAACTCACCTCTTCTTTGTTGGTTCTGTTGCATTCTTTCCAAGGATTTCCCTATTACAAAGTTAAAACAACTATATTTAATAACTCTGAGTTGATAGTAAGGAATTTAGTCTAATTTCAGATTGTTAATTGAGTCAGGGACACATTGCAAAAGCACTGATAACCCAGTTATAAAGCTGCCAAGGCCTTGCCATTGGCCTTGCCAAGGCAAGCACAAGCTGACACAAGTGTCCTTCACTGCTCACCCTGGTGCAGTGTGGAGCTCATAAATTCATGGTTGTGCTGACAGCTGTGGCAGCAGGACTCTTTTTGCTAGCAGGATTTTATGGGCTTATTATTAGATTACTTAACAAAACCGATATTGATATGAAAAACACTGGCAAGAAACCAGGATGAAGTGACCCGAAACTAGGTTGACTTGATTGTTTTGCCTAACATAAATATTCTGATAAGGTCTATGAAAAGCTCTTTCTGCAATAGTGCTCATTGATTCCAAAGCACATGAAAAAAGTTACCTACAAGGGAGAGAACCAGGTGCCCCTGTAGATAGTGAACATGGCATGGATTTGAGTCTTACTCATAAGCTTGATATCAACTTTCCAGATCAGTTGTGGAAGAAAACAATATGTGTTTTTCCCTTTCCAAAATGGGAATCACAGCATGGGTGATGATAACCTAAAACCACTAATATTAGCTATATGAACTGCTAAGGAAATATTAGCACAAATTTTGAAAGCTTTTCAGAGCAGAGACCATGCCTATGTTTAAGGTCAATGGATTTAAAGTTCTACTAATATTTTCATTATCTAGGTAGCAAAGAAAAAGTCCAGAATTTCCCTTATGATCATATTATCAGTGGTACCTAAATTGCAAAACGTAACATCGGCCAAAAATCAGATCAATATGCTCACTTATGAATTTCTGATTATTCTGAATTAAACTATTACAACCCTTAAAATATGAAGTTGTTCTTCCATTTAGCATACTTTCTGCCCAAAACAGATCATGTGAACTGAGCTGATTAGTAAGAACCAAATCAATGGTTGCAAGACATAATCCAAGGTGTCTGCAGTAGCCTGTGTTTGAAGGCTTAGATCAGTAATTATGCAGAACTGCATGCCACCATCTATAACACCAAATGCAGTAATACAGGTCTTTGCTTCTTAGTTAAAGCACAACTCATACCTTTATAACATGAATAAATTAATTTCCTATTTATCAGTTTCAGTGTTTGGAGACAAGAAATCTACCTTAAAAAAAAAAGCCTTTACGAAATATATGCTTAGCATTTTATTAAGCCCATTATAAAAAGAAATACTGGGGCAGGGGATGGGGGGAGAAAAGGGGGATGAAGAGAGGTTATACATTTGAGATATAGTTGTTTTATTATTATTATTATGGTTTACAAATTGAGTTATAGAAATCAATACAAAATTACATATACAACCCACAGTTCTTTGGATGGCATTTCAGAAATTCATGACAGAACAGCCCTAATTATTATGCTTTATATCTAAACAGTTTTCTTATTACACAGTACTTCACAGCTAAAAGTAGAACTGAAACAAGGCTTTGAGAATAATCAAATGAAGAAGTGAGAAAATGTGCTTTGAATTTTCATGTTGAGTAACATAGGAAAAAATAACAACAAAGGGAACTAGCACTGCATTAGATTGCCGCTGTTGGTTAAAGGGAAAAAATACATAAGATCATTACCTCATTATTTTCTGTTCTTCCTCCATCTGTTCCCTGACCTGTTGCAATTCTTTGATCAGTTCAACATCTGTGCCGTTCACCCAGGTGTAGACCACATCAATTGGCATGGGCAAACACAGCCTACATGATTCAAAGGAAAGCTACATGAGCTGTTTAATATTACATTACAAGTGTTCGTGGCATCCTACAATAGCAATTTCTGTCTAACAACAGAAATACTTGGTGTCTGGGATGCAAACAAGACAAAGCAAAAAGCCTCTCTTTAGCTATATATATCATGTCTTAATTATACACAGTCCTTTGACAAAACAGCAGACATAAACCAAAAAGGACACCAACTGGCTATAACAGTTCAGTAACTAAAGAAAATCTTAGCTTTATGCTCTGAATTTCACCTACATAAACCTATAACCCAATTCCTTCAAACCCATCAAATATTTTACAAGTCAGCACCAGCATCCAGGTACATTCTTAATTCACCAACTTCATTAGATTGGACAGCATGAAGCATAATGACTTAAATCATACTTGCTGTTATTTAATTGCACAGAGCCAATAAGATCTCAGCAGGACCAGGTCTCTATCCTGGGAATGTCTCTTAGTTATTATTAACAGGGTGTTTCATAAACCAACAACTTAATTTGGGTACAAGAATTCAGACTCTAGACACAGCAGACAAATTAGTTCTTGACACAACTAAATATCCTGGAACTGCTTCTGGAGAGTTACAGATTTCCTAACATACCCAAGGCAGAAGAAAGGGGTTTGGGTATCTGTTTTCTATTTTTTTATGGTAGTCTCCTCTCCAAGGCCCACTGCTTTGTGTCAGCAGGTACTCCAGGCTGCTGCCATAGATGAACCTATCAGTCCCAGAAAGCAGGAGGCTGCCCTAAATATTATTTTCAAAAGTTCCAGTGTCAAGCTATTTAATACCTTCCTAAACTGTAGATGGCCTAGCAAACACTGAACACTTCTCTAATGCTGAGATCCATGGGGTCATGCAACGATGTTTTCCAGAGGTGTCCCCTCTCCACCCACTGTGTCCTTCAAAAAGCATCCAAATCGAGACAGAGCTTACACACAATATTTCACCCAAATTCCCTAGCACGTCATGCCAAGCAGACAGCTTCCACCCAGCTTCATTTTCTACTGGCTCAGATTCAGTAACTGAAGCACAAAATTTGGTAAAAGGTCAGCCAGTAGCTGGTCACAGCACAATAGACAGGAACATTTCGTCCTCAATTTACCACTGTTCCTAACTGAGTTATGACACTTAAAGAATAATGGTGGGTCATTCTGGGACAGTTTGAACATCTAAGCAACAGCGCTGCCTTCCCCAGCAGCACCACCCAGAAAGTCTCTCTCACCTCTGACCTGTATCACTGTGCAGAAGGCTACCCTCTCAACTGGCAAGAAAAAAAAGTCAATTTACCGAATACAAATACCCCTCTAATCAGTTGTTTCACCTCTTTCCTCAGAAATGACTAGCTTCTTGTCCATTAATAAGGCATGTTTTGAACTGAAAAGTTCTCCACAGGAGTAGAAATTCAATGGCAGTAGTTCTTCCAGCTTTTCTACATTTGAGATCAGTTAAATTATTGGTTTGACAGTCACTGGAATGCTACAGCTAGGAAAGGAGTGTTTAAGGTGGAAGCACCTGACTCAGTCAGTAGATTTCAAAAATGCCCAATCCTCAGTCTTCTGGGCAAAGTGCAGAGTTTATTAATGCAGGTTTTACTGAAGAATATAGTGTCCAAAATAAAAGCCTGAACTCCAACTCTTTCAGTGGTATGAGGCAATTCTGACTTCCGTGAAGCCTCTCTCCAATTTATAATTTGTTATAAGTGTGTCTATGCAACAGCACATATAACTACATAATTTGCTATGCTATTGTCACATACAGTCAAATGCTAATAAATTCCAGAGGAAAGGCATTTTTGGTCAGATGCAGGTATCCCAACTCTGAATTAACTCTGGCATGGCAAGCTCATTATTCATTACCAGTGGCAATAGAGATAGATCAGTAAAATACAAGTGAACTGTTTGCAGATCCACTAGTACAGTTGCTTCAAATTTACCCAAATAAATTTTCTTAATGTATTTTTAGAGCATACATTGTTTCAGAAAGTTTATCAAACATAATAATAAAAAACATATATTGTAAAATTCAATTTATTGCTTCCAATTAGGCTAAGTAACACTATTAAGACTTCACCTTTTTGGGCTTTGTCAAAGCTTTCTGGATGGTTTCATGGCTTCTTAAAGAGTATTGAGAGTTTATATTTTGACAGGTATGTAGTGGAATTTTGATTTAAAATGAAAAGGAACAGGAGAGCCACTTCAGTAGTATGGTTCTCAAACACTATTTTAACACGTAGAGTCTTTTGCAAACTTCTGAAGGTCAGAAAAGATCAAAAACTTTCTCACTCAAATTCTGTAGCTGTGTTTCTCCCTCATGTGGATTTATACATTTGGTCTTAATCACAAACACCAATCTGGCAAACAGGTTAAACCCAAGATGAGCTGAGTCAATTTACTAAATACAACTACCCTTCTAATCAGCTATTTACCCTTTTTGAGATGACTAGCTTCTGGTTCATCAATAGATGCAAATCAAGGCACTCTTTGATTCAAGTGGGAATTATCTTAACAGCTTTCTAGAGAAAATCATCAGTTTTTCCATTTGCTACTGATTGTAATATCAGCAAACATGGACTTTGGAAACTTCCTTGGAAACTCCCAGACAATTAATTAAGTTGAGGCTTGCTGTGGATAGTCTTTTACATTTTTCTCTTTCAAAAACATACCCATTTTTCACTTGCAAATCTAAAAACATCAATAGGATCCTGCTTGAAGACAAAGCCAGAGCCACCAGCTCCCCCAGATGGGACAGGACACACACCTGCTGGGAAGTATTTTCCATACCCATGATGTGTTTACACACGAGAACCATGCTTACAGCCAAGATTGCAGCTAGAAGACAAGCCTCATTGTCTCAACACCCACTGCTGCTGAAGGAGTACAGCAGGCTCTGGATCTCCTCCAAGCTACCATATGGTCCTTGCTGAGCCTCTTTATGAACAAGGTAAGTCTAAGCTCCTCACTGTAAACCTCCCAGCCCTCCTGCCTGTTACAGCTCTGTAACTACGCACCAACAGCAACTCACCTGTTCCGTTGGTATTCCTGCTCCCTAATTTGTGCATCTTTTCCTCTCTCCAGCCTCACTCAGCTCAACAATTAATGGCTGGCCAACCACTGAGAGCTCTCACTTGCTGTACCATACTGAAATCAGTCTGTATATTTTAAAAGCTGAGGATTTTTCCTTCACATTTTCTTTCCGTACATATTTTGGAGTTTTAAATATGACTTGGTCACGTCCTGGAATAGCAAAGTTACACTTCAGCATTTACTAAAATACAGAATTTGCATGTAGAGTAGTAAAATACACATCTCATCCAAGACACTCGTGCACACAACTCCATAATTTAGTTTCCTTCTCTCCCTTTTTGTTTTCATATCAAACCTAAGTCTTCAAAAATGGTTTTGGATGAGGTGACTGGATAAAAAGCCTTGGAATTTCTACTCCACTGTCTCAAGCTGTGTAAGAGCCTGGCAATGTAAATAGCAAGTTTAGCAGCTGATGTGACTACCTGGAAAGTGCAGGAGTTGAGATGCCAAGGATGTGCAACAGGAGGGAAAAGCAAACCAAAACAATGGCTAAACTTCAAGGCAAAAGAAGAAATCTTCCATGGTCTGGTAGAGAAGAGCATTCAACAGGTGTTACTAATGATGCTCTCAACATCTCTCTTTTTACGTGACAAGTTTTTTGAGTTTATAATCATAAGGAGCTTGCCCACACACACAAATCTGTCTACATTTTACACTGAGGTTCTCTATAGAAATTTATAACACAACAGTCACACACAAATAGAGATGTTTACCTGCAAAGCTCCTAGAAAATAACGCTATTTAAATTCAGTTGAAGATCCATTCATATTTCCTAAAGGCCACGCAGCTTTTACTTTCTGCGAAGCAGTGGATCTGCTTTACTTCCCAACCAACAATCTTCCTGTTATCCAATTCTGAATAATTTTCTCTAACACTAAAATAAGAACTGATTAAAATCAATGGATAAGGTAGATTCAAAACTGGAAGTCCACAGTCCCCAGTTTATGCATAGCCCTACATGCTGCATCGATACCAGTCTTAAAAACTTCACCAAACCACCAGTGATACAAGTGCATACTGCAGCACAGAGTCCACTACTGCATTTGTGCAGTTGGATAATAAAAATAAAGTGAACCCTTGACAAGGGAATCTAAAAGTTAACAGATGCATAAAAGTATGTATCCATAAAGGGTTTTTTGTTGATATTAATTTTTTCAGGAAGTTGGTATCTGCACACAAATATCCCAAAAAACTTCTGTGTCACGTCTGATATATGAGTATTAAAGGCATATGGGTGAACTGAAATAACATAAGCACCCATCAAGAAAACCTAAAGCCTTTGCTCAGGCAGCCGATAGCTCCTTCCTAGGCACTGGATGTTTTGCTCACAATCCACAGAAGTGAACAGTAGCAAAGGAGTGCTTTACACAACCCAAATGAAGTAAGGAAACACAGTGCAGAAAAGGGAACTGACTATACCTACACTGCAACAGTAGGATTTGTGATTTTGTTTTGGACAAAGTCCACTATTTTATAAAAATACTGCAGTTTAATTATCATAAAGTCAGGTATTTTAGTCCTGACGGGAACAAACTGCCATGTTTTCACTTCAGTACCACTGAAACACGTAAACATGAAGTTAATCATCCATACGAGCTGTATCACTCTGCTTTCATCTGTTATCCTCTGGAAAAATGGGGAGAGGGGTACGAGATGAGACTATAAAAGTGTATAGCATTCAATGACACCACACAATGTACTTTTACAGAGTTATCTCACACCAACTAAAGCGTGACAAATTGATCTGACGATTTCTACTGTCCCGTGACTCAACAAACCTCAAGGCAGATTAAAGCATCTGCTTTCAGGGTTGTTTTTTTTCCCCAGTCAAGTGTATCAATGTTAAGAGTCAGATATCTCCTTAGTAGCTTTCTTCTACCTACCACTTCACAGTCCACTGACTTCCTGAGCAACAGACCCCAGGCTATTCAGACACAAATGATGAAGCCACAGGAAGTCATGTAGCTTAACACAAGTGAAACCAACGACCCTTATGACTTGGTTCCCAACTTGCTGTGAGAGACTTTTCCCGTGCACTGAGCTTTTAAAAGCTTCTTACTAGCTTTGTGACTTCTCTACTAAATAATGTTCCTCATGAGACGTCACGGAAAACTTAAGGGAAATGAAAAATAACTTTTCAGAACACTGTAAGTTGGAATTTTAAGCACACAGGAACAGTACTTATGTTTTCCTGTCTTAATATAGAAAATATGTCGTGTCCTCCCTTTATTGTTAACATTGTCACCATTTTGATGTTTCATTAGAGACTGGATGATTAAAACACATTTAAAGTGTAAACTCCATTATATGACTAATGCTTCCAAATGTCAAACATCTTCCAAAATAGGAGATTATGCACTGACTATGCACTAATTTTAAACCATTAACTTTAAAATTTGCTGCAGATTTAGAGCCCATACATTAAGGTCCTACTCAACAGTATGTTATTTCATCTCAAATATTTTACTTAAGTGTTTAAAAATTCATTGAACAGTAAAATGTGCGATATGTCAAGTGCAGGTAAGCTCACCGATTCTGAAATGATTTGCCAGCAACGTTGTCTCTGTACGAATCAAACATAACATGATACTGGTCTCTACTCCACTCCAAGACAACCTGCAAAGAAAAAAAAAAACAACCACAAAACAACTTAATGTCACCACCTTCTAAAGTTAGACACTAATTTCTCCTTTTGAAATGTTTAACCACTATCAATTTAATTTGAATTGATCTATGCATTAATGTACAACTGACCAGACCATAATCCCAAATAAGTTGTTACACTGAGTCAGTAATCAGACTTAGAACTGAAGAGCCCACTTCATTTAAACAAACTTTGTTTTGCTCTGCATGAAAGGAGTTCATGATTTACTAACACTTTTTAAACCACTATTTATTTAGGTTACCTCCCTGTTGTCTCTAAAAATTCAGGAATGTTTTCCCAAAACTGAGATCTAAATCAAATATATTTCAATACAAGCAGAAAACCCCTAACACACACACAGACCTGCATAGTTTTGCTCATCTTCCTTTCTATTCTCATACAGGACATATTGAAGTATATACACCTCTGAAATCTGAGCATTGCAAACAAACAGCCAGGGGAGGGCATATCAAATTATGTGAATTCACCCAGCTACAGACTTACAACAGTTCTTTCCAACAGAGGTAAAGTCTTACATTGCATCCCAACTAACCCAACAGCACAGTATTTCTGCAGGCCGCAGCCTCTCATCCATCCCCTTGCACTCCTGCCATTCCCCTTTAGCTTGACACGAGTTTGCCTGACCCCACAGTGAGCCAAGTCATGGCTAAATCAACAGAAAGATGAACCTCCAAAAACTAGAGCGCTTGATCTTCCTCTGCTTGGTTGTTGGAGCAGATGACAAATGGTGGTGACAAACACACAGCTAATATCTTTTAAAGTGAAAGTCCAATCTTAAAAACTATATAAGCATCTTGCGCTGTTTTAGAGAAGAAAGCACAGTAACTAATTTGACTGGGGTAAGTACATATTTGTATATAGTGGAGGGTAAACAAAAACAAAAACCCAAACAAACCAATCAACCCCCCAAAACAACACAAAACCCCAAACCTACGAACCAGGAAAGAATAATAGTTATTTACACCGCTCTTCTTAGATATAAATTTTACTAATGCTTGTTTCTTGTATTATAGGAACTATGAAACATACTATTTCTCTAAGGTAGGGTTCAAAGCCTTAACATAAACCTTCCTCCCTTTTCTGAGAATACACACCTCTTTACCCTGATTGACCGTAAAGCAAATTAAAGCCTTCTAGAGAGCAGAGAAGCTCCATCATGTGCCTGGGTGACAAGTGCACGCACACGCAATTCCTGTCAGAGCTGCAAATAATCTCTGTAACCAAGATCACATCAGTACACTTCTATTCTCCTCACACAAAACAGATATATTTCCCAGGAAGGCATACAAATCTCCTCCCTTAAATACCAAGGTGGGAAATTGTCTTAAAATCATACTATTACACTTTTTTTATGCACAAGTCATTACGTCCTTCTGTCAAATACCTGGTTTAATACAGCACACACTGAAAGACCATATCCATGTGGAAACTTTTGCTACTACTGATAATGATGAATTGGCACACACTGATCTGCTTCTAGAAGAAGTACAGAAGTATTTGAATGAGACTGTAATATATTATATGAATAATATGGCTCTCCAGAAGAAAAAAATTAACATTCAAGTCTTTGCCTTTGGCATTTGTGTGATTGTAACTACTAGCAGAAAGGACAGAAGACAGATCTCTTAGAAACACATTAAGAAGTTAAGCTCTTCCTACCTGATACATTTTTTTCCCCTGCAACTGTTTCCTCCTGACACATTATTTGTCTTGAAGCAATGCCTGGAGGCTGCTTTACTTTTAAATACTGATATTATAAAACCACAAGGGGAACACTAAAAAACAAAGTGAGAGACACTGCCTATTAGGATATACTGTATCAGATACGTGATAACAGTGGCTCAGGCATGTTCTGGTTATAAAACTTTTCACAAAGCTGATCAACCTTTAGAAGAATGGCCAAGACGAGTTTTTATAACCAAACTGTCCTAAAACTTAAAGCACATTTTAGAACTAAGTTACAGGATTGCTTAGACCTGGCTACCCTGTATGTTTTTGCAGAAATATTTCTGAGTCACGCTCAATGCCCTGGTATTTTATTGAGCTCAAGTTCTTCCTTGAAAGGAAGCTCATTTTCAGCTTCTGGCTGCAAAGACATCATTACAAATCTCAAATTATTTGGCCTAACCGTCCATTTTTACTTCACCAATATTACTGATATTAGCATGAATCTAAGAAATCAGATCTAATATTGCCTTCTATGACAAAAAGCTGGCTCTGGGGGTGGGGGAAAAGCAGAACTGAAGATGTTGCTCAGACACCAGGGTCTGATAAGCGGTGCCTCACACTGCTTTTTATTGCTTGAGTTCGCCACAGATGGCTAAAAATGGTTGAGCTGTTAACTTCTAGAAAGACTTCTTGGTTTCATTTTCCAAACAGTTTTATATTTTTTATTAGCTGCTGCCTTACACACTCTGTACTGGAGAAGTGTTTTCCATTCCCACTATAGTTATCAGAAGACGTGAATAGTGTTCGTTCTCACAAGCCTAGTCTCCCCTAAATCATTGAACTACCACTGTTTACCAGTATACAAAGGCAAAAAGCAAAATGCATTCAAACATATCTTACCAGGCTAATTTACCATCATTGGGGTGGGGGGGGAAAAGAGTTTTCTATATTCCTGTATGGCCATTCTATAAAGGGTGAAGGTTTTGTTGGTTGTTTTAGCTTGTTTTTGGTTGGTTGGTTTGTTTGTTTAACATTGCTAGTCACTTTCCTTTTTTCTTAACATATAATTTGGAAAATCTACTCCTACATGAATTTACCAGTTCTTTTGCTCACTGTCTAAACAGTATCTAAGCTTTCCAAATAGCTTTAAAAGGGTTGGAAGCATCAAAGTAAAAGTTAGTAAGAAAATAATTCTGAGCAGTGATTTCAACTGATTCTCACCAAAATCAACAAAAACTTGGACAACTACTGAAGTATTTTTAAAAACCTTCAAAGTTCTATGGTATCCTAAAGTTGGGTTTAAGTCCCCCTTCTGAAGAAATGCAAAACTATACTCAGTTTCACAGCACCAAGAAGTCTATACCAATCTAAGTTGATAATCATGTACAAACAGGTGCCTAAGAGTACTATATAATTACTTAATTTGCTGATGGCTTTGAAGTGTCCTGGGAACTTGTGAACCCTGCAAGAAAGCAGAGATGAAGTAATTTATGCAAAGAAGATGTACTAATAAAAAAAATAAAGTTTTGATTGTGGCACACTCAAGAGTTTCAGATAATACTCTTTATGGCTCTTCTTTTTTCCCTCTCTATCTGAAAGAGCCCATCAAAATAGAACAGAGAATAAAAGAAGGAAGAAAAAAATAAAAAAAAGAAAGAACAACTTAGGAATCAGGAAATTCCAGTCTATTTGCATTTAACACTGCCGTCCTTGAATTCCCTGAATCCTTACTATATTCTCAAACACCGCACTGAAGTAGGAATGGGTTCTTTTCTCTCCACATTCTTTCACTGATAACTTCCCAAAGACATAGGGCAATATGAAACGAAGCTTTAAAATATACATCTGTATAAAATCATATATAGAAAAGGGGTAAGTTACATTGCATCATTTACAAAAGAATGCGGGCAAACTGAGTAACAAGTAGCGAGCAAAGTAAGGTAGACCCTTATGAGCTGCAGGCAGCTTGGAGGGAGGATACATTTAACCACTTAAACTCCGGAAGGGGTAAGATTCTGTCACTCCCAGTCGCCATGTGAAGGTTACATCCAGCACAGGCTTTACGAGACTCAAACAAAAACACAGCACTAATAAATCACTTGATAGGGGAAGCGGAAAAAATTGCACAAGACCAGCCAACAGCAGCTGGTTTGTGTCACCTCTGCTCCGCCGGGGCCCGCCGAACCTGTCAGACCCCACCTAACAACCCCTTGGGGCACCCACCGGGAGAGCGGCCCCGCTGCCCAACAGGTGGGAACACGGCGGCCCGGGGAGCGGGAGCTGCCACGGGGCTGCGCTCCCTCCGGGATGCAGGATAGAGCCATTCCCTGCCCGGGGCACGGCGGGCCCGCGGCCGGCGCCGCCCGCACAGCGCGAACAGCGCCCGGCGGGCGGGGCGCGGGACTGTCACCGCACGGGCCACGGGGTGCCTGCCGGGGGACCCCGCTGCTCACAGACACCACCACCGCCCGGCTCCCCAGAGGAAAAACAGCCCCGAACCGAGCGCCCCCGCGTCCCCCGGGCCGTGCAGCCGCGGGGCTGCGCCTGCCCCGCCGGCACCGCTCGGCTCTGCACGGAGGGACGCAGGGGAAGCGGGGCAGCCACGCCGTACTGACCTCCCCGAACTGCAGGGCGGAGACGATCATGAGGACGAGCCCGCCGAGGCAGAGGCAGGGCCCATACCTGTGCGACAGGCAGGTATAGGTCTGGCGCTGCAGGAGCTTTAGCAGCATGGCCCGCCGGCGGCCGCCACCCCGCACGGCCCGGCCCGGCCCCGCTCCCCCCGTGCCCTGCGCGGGCCGGGGGCGGGTCCCGCCCACAGCGCGCCCGCCCCGCTTCCGGC